CGAGAGAAAAACAAGAAGCCAAACGATACACTTGTACAAACATTTTTAGATCAGGGTGGTCGTTTCCTCCACACGAATGTCGCATAACAGAAAAAAAGTCTCTGAAATTCCAAATAAATAATTGTTCATAAAGAAATAAAATGAGTAAAGTCAATTATAGTGACTTGTATATTGTATAATTACTTCTAAAGGATCTTGTGACAAAGTTGTTGTCATTACATACTCATATTTTCAACATTTGTAGTGTTGAGTGCAATGTTACTTTTAATACTAGTAACGTACTCCTTGATACAGGTATTTTTTGGTACGACTTTCCATTGATGTTCGTCGAGTTGGGGGTTGATATTTTCACAGAAAGGTTACATTATTATAAGTACACACGCAAAGTTTCAACATGCGGAAATGCGTAGTTTTTGAAAAAAAAATTATTGAAAATAAATTATTTTTGCAATATTTATGCCAATCCCCGTGACATCCGCCGAGTTGGAGGTGATATCTCCAACAGTTGTACATATTAAATTACTTCTAATACATGCCTTACATCTACAAATTACTATGTACTACCAATTATAGGAGAACACATCTTTCTAAAACAGTGTTTATAATTTGCCTATTTTAATGGTAGTTGAAACAAAAATAACAAAAATATAAATAATGAGTAAAGTCAATTGATATATATATATATATCAATTGCTACCGTAAAACTGACGCTATTTTGTATTGTCGTTGTCAGTAGGGATGTCGATAGTTGTGTCTCGCCAGCAACGCAAAGTCGGGAAACTTGCATTTGGAAAAATCCAAAATTAGGGGCTTTTTAGGTGCTAATTAAGTACAAAGTTTAAAAATTCGACAATATACACATATAACAATACAAGAAAAACAAAAGAAATAACAAGAGAAATGACAAAAATCAACAATAAAAAATAACAATAAAAATAATAATAACAAGCGGAGGTCAGTCAAACCTCCCCGCAAGGAGACAGGGGGGCAAGAACTGTTAGCGTAAAGGACTCACCAAGGCGTCGACGCTGTACAGCGCGAGCAGGACAGCGGAGGCGCGAGAGCGAGATAGCACTACCGTACGGGGACGAAAGCGCGGGCTACCTGGACACAACCGCTCGGGAGCGGTGGCACAGGCAGAATAATGATGACTCGGAGCCCAAAACGCCCTTCTTATATGGAGGGTGTCTCGGCACGAGCGTGTTCTTACGAAGTGTGCCGCGCCAGGCGTAACGGGGTATGAGGGGGTGACGGGACGGCGGCTCCCTTCGCCGTCCGTAACAATATGTGTAGCACCGTTTCACATCTTGCTTACATATTACGCGCGACGCGGTTCCTTGTAAGACCATCCAAACAACGTTCTACCGGCAATGGGTTGCTTACGGCGTCCTATTCGAAAATTACGCGTTATAATTAAATGCCAATTATTTGAACCTATCAGCACTTTCGGTTTCGCATCGTTATAACGCACTTCACTCGGTAAGCCACGTAAATGTTTCAAACGTAGACACTCCTTACCGACGGACTGCGAACCTATTATCAAATTGCTTATCGTTCGAGTACTTATAAGGTACGTATCGTTTCTCGTTTAACCACGTATCCCTATTTTAAGTACGCGGCTATTAGCCCCACGTTGGCTATTCGATACGCCTCGGATGTTCAGTGGCTTTGTCGCTCCTAATTCGTCATCTAATTCGCAAATTAATTCGTCATCTATCAGCGAGATTGTGGACCTTTCATCGAGGAGCTCGTAGGTCTCTATCTTCTTACCTCGCGGTCCGCGCACTATAATAGGACACACTTTTAAAAATACCGTCTCATTGTTAGCTGTATTAGACACGACGAGCACTGTTTCACCTGGATTTGCAGATGCTACCGGTGTCTGAATCTTGCGGGCGTGAAGTAACGCGTGATGAGGGGCGGTGCAGCTATCGCCGCATTTCTTGGCCTTGCACCTCAGACGCAGATGCTTACTGCTTAGTCACTTGAAGCACACTCCCTCTTCCTTCACCCACTTCCACCGGTTACCCACGTCCATCTGTATCAGTTTTCTACACTTGTTTATCAGATGTTCTCCACTACAACACAAACACTTAACACTTTCACTATCATCTTTTGTGGTGAATGTCCTTACTTTGCGGAGCCTATCCTCTACGCGGCGTGTGACTACTAGTCGGCGTGGCGGACGTGTAGGCGTGGCTTAACTAACGGTCAGCCTCTCTCATCATAAACCGTGATAATGTGACGATATTCGGATCGTCAGCACTTCTGTAGTGCTCCGCGTAATCGCACCAACGCGACCGTCAGTGAGGACTCAACTTGCTAGTGACCTCTCTCGTTAGCACACGATTCTGTAAATATCCTTTACCGTCGACGTTCTTCACAATACGGACGATATTCTGTAACCTAATTGCGAACGCGTTTAACTCCTGAACGGTTTTACCCGGGCGCGGAAGGCGTAAAAAATCGCGTTATCCAAATTACAATCTTAAATATGCCTGACCTACATTGTCTGGCCTGCTAACTGGGAGCAAAGTTTATAATGAGAAATGGTAGCTACATAATATTATGTCAAGCAATATACTATTAAAAACTGAAACGACAAACAATCTCACAGCTTATCTGACGGTAAGTGACACACAAACGCCTACGTTGTCATCTAAGATGGAATGCCTACAGTCTGTAAAAAGAGTTCCCCATTTCATGTACCTACACCAAGTATTATTTGAAAAAAAAAACGTGAAGCTTATTGAAATACCGCAAGTCTGCCGCTCACTGGCTCTTAGACCAACACAAAATTTCAAGCAAACCCATCCAGTAGTTTTTGTGTGAATTGTGAATAAAGACACAGACTGGCAAAAATTCTCAAAACCATCAATTTGACTTCAGTGACCGTTGTTTAGTCTCCTGGACTTGTTTTTCTTTTCTTAAAAATATTAGAACTGTAATAATACACATACCCTCTAGTCGGGTAAAAATAGTTACTAAATTATGTCCAGCGATTGCTAGCGAGTCGACTTACGAGTATGTGGCTCCGACAGCGCTGCGCAAACTATGTTACTGTAGCATTATGCAGAGTCGCTTCTATTTTATTTGAAAATAACTTGACAATGTTAATAAAAACATATGAGCTTGATCTATTTTCTTATCCATTTTGGCCTTATGACATTATATACCACTCTCCTTTTTATACATTATAAAGAGAATAAGAACTTCATGCACATAGCTCAAATCCATGATAATATATCACTATTAAAGTTTCTATATACTGTATTATAACTTACTATGTAAGTGTGTAAGGTGGCCTTTTTGTTGCCGCAATACATTTTTTTATACCGAGTTCAAAAAGGAGATGGTAATCATAACACCCAGTAAAAACTGGGTGTACCGATTTTGATGGTTCTTTTTTCATTTGAAAACTGGTGCTTCATATGTGGTCCCATATAAATTTGATTAATGCCTGAGTCGGTTGTACAAAATTTTTAATTTTAATTTATTTAATATTTAGTTATGTTTTCTGTTTGATAAATTCATTTTCTGCAAGTTGTAGCAATAAATTAATATGTTATTTCTTTCTTGTTTCTTTCAAAAAATAAAAATCCCCTATGTATTTTTATATTTTATTAAAGACAAACAAAATTAACATAAACATAACTTCGCCTTAACACGGAAGAAACTGAGGCGTTCGAATAATCAGCACACTGATGTATCAGTTACTAAAATATAGCGTGAGTGTGACGGTGAGTCAAACGCAGAGTCACCAGATTTGCGAATCTATAACATTCTTCACATGGAAGTGTTTAAACCACGTGTTTATTATCTAACACTATATTAAATTTCAAATCTGTAAAAATGACAAATTATTTTGACCAGGCTAGTGGCGTAGCATAAAAGGGCGTGAAGCTAGAGCTATGCATATGACCCCGGGCAACATTGTGGGTATGAGGAGAAAGCCTTAATTTTTAAAATCAAGTATATTATGAAATTATCATATATTTTAATATTTTCTTTTAAAACTTCTTCACAATATGTTCTTAGGAGATTTTAACCGCGGTTTGAGCCAGCAGACAGTCGATGACGTCAGTAAGGCGCAATAGCAGACACGTTGCACAGTAGCAAACATCTTGCAGTTTGCATCACCATCGGAATACTTGTTTCATCGTTTCTACTGATAGTTCAAATACGCAGACATTTAATACACAAAATCGCACCACTTTTACGTATCAAATTCTACTTCAAACCATTGCAACAGTTCAACAGAAAACTTATCTATACTTCTTTAACTTTTTAACTGTCGTTTTTTACTGCACAACCTCCTATATGTCAATCTCTGTCTTCTTAGTCTAATGGTTGTCTAGGATAGAATGCCTTAAGGCATTACATCCGCCATAGTTTTTTTATAGCATAAGGGTAACAAAGGAGCACACAGTCCACCTGACGGTAAGTGGTTGCTGTGGCCCATAGACATTTTATATCTATCGATGATGACGAATCAAAATGCAGATGCGTTGTTAGCTATGAGGACTGAGATGGAGTGCCTCATTTCCAGTAAAAAGGGTCTCCGGTTCTCTACACTCACCATACGAAACACAGTAGCGTTAAGCTGCTGTTTTATGCTGGTATTCTGTGAGAGCGTACTTTCCCGGTCGGGCTGACCCATTCGTGCTACAACTATACCAATAATATAGCTGCAGCATGGCTCTACCACGTAAACTGTACTACTTTTGTCCATAAAAGTTTAAATAAATAAATAAATAAGTAAATAAATTTAGTCCTGTAACGGCGGTGAATGGAATCACTACCCCACTTCATTCCGTGGGTGTCGTGATTGGTGACAGAGAGAACCAGAAACAGATGAGTTGCCAACCCACCCGCCATATAACTGCTATAAATAGATACCTGTAACTATGGCAAATATCCTCCCTATGAAAGCCGAAAGCCATGCTACGTCACTTAACCTGGCAACTCCGAGAACAATTCTCTGCACAGTGCAGATACGCTTAAAGATCTAAGCTGTCCGACGTAAACTTGATGCGACGCGCGGGCAGCTCCCAAACGCGCAGAGTGTGATCGCTGTCTCCCGCTGCTATCTTGCAGGACCTATTGAAAGAAAGATTTCTCTTTTGACGTGAATAAGTCTTTAAATTAACTTCCAAAGCAATTCAGAAAACTGATGATAACAAAATCGGAATTTCCGTTTAGTATAAATGTTGACGTTACTCCCTGGTACTATTTTATTTATTCTGTGACGTGTACATATGTATTCATGTAGAACACGGCCGTATCCACGTCACAGTCTTACCCCGATTTTTTGGTTACTTTTCTTTTATGAAATTGTAGTGAGCAACGAACATACAGTCCATCTGATGGTAAGTGGTTAATACCTGCACCTGCAACCAACTTCAAATAAAAAATAAACTACAAACGCGTTGTCACCTCCGAGGACTAAGGCCCATATAAACGTAATTATTTGATACGCCCTCATTATGATGTCAGCATCTCAAGATAATTAGTAAACACATAAAACAGTATCTCAAAACGCGGTAGGTACTTAGGAATACTGTTCCGTGACTTGCACTCAAGTACAAACACGAGAGTCGAGTTTTCAGTGCGTCACTTAGGTGATATCGTAAACCTAAGCCGCATCTTGACAAATGTTTATTAATAAGAAGAAAAGAAGACCTTAAGATTGTACTCAAGTGCGTGTAATTTGAGGTGAGTAACATTTATTAATACAGGCCTAAGATGTAATGCCTTACAGCCTTTTGGCAGAAATAGGTAAGAGATGCAATTTTTACTTGTATTTAGTTTTTTTTTTATAGATTAAAGTAAACTAGTACACAGTCAACCTGATGGTAAATGGGTGTTATGGCCCATAGACATTTATCCTCAATTGAGAATCAAAATGCAGATACGTTGTCACCCCTGAGGACTAAGATGGAATGTCACGTTTCTAGTAAAAATTTTCTCTGGTTCTCTACACTCACCATACGAAACACAGCAGCATTAAGCTGCTATTTTATGCTGGTATTTTGCGAGAGCGTGGTCCTTCCCCGGTCGAGCCGACCCAATTGTGCTACAACCATAATATAGCTATCACGTATAAATGTATATATGTCCTGCCTTTTAGTTCTGATTAAGCACGTGCCAGGTGGTAAAGTCCATAGTATAGTTGGCTTATTGGTCTTAAACGCGATTGGTGAACATGAAGTGCCAGGTTCGAACCGCGGGTCGGACCAAAATCATTTATTGGGGTTTTGGAACGAAGTTCCTTATCTAACGGTACAAATTTGAAGGATAGGGGCTAGGCAAGAAAAAGTGTAAGATAGCGTAGTGCGAGCGAGATGGAATAATATCTAATCTCCCTCGCACTTGTTCTTAAATTTGCCATGAAAGAACTTTCTTTACTTTATTTACTTTATTTTAAATTTTACTTTATTTTAAATGATGCTTCATTTTAACAGACTAATAATTTATTTATTTGTATTTGTTAATCAATAATATAATGCGTTTATCAATAGTAATATACTACGAAAGGCACTTCGTTCCAACAGAGTGTTCCACGACACCCACGCATGTTTTTTCTCACAAGAAATTCTCTGTAGTAGCCTGGTGTCAGGAATTTGGCAGTATTTTTACCCCAGTGGTTGGTCCTGCGCCTGATCTCTCTATGAGGGAATAGAGAGTGCATCTTTGCTTGCGCGTACACTCGTGCACTATAATACTGTCCCGCGCAGATGGCCAATCTCAAATCGAAATAACGCTACTTTAATAGATCCTATGCAGGTAAAAACAGGTCAAGTCGTTAGTATGTAATAAAAAAAATTAAACATTTGCACGCTTAGGATTGAGACAGAACATATTACTTAGAACCATGTACCAAATTTCATTATTTACTACCTATAATCAGCAAACAAACTTCATTCATTCGTTCGTTCATTTAAAACCATCCGTTATAGTTATTTTTTTATATAATAGGTATATAAGTGTGTTGGCAAATGAGCATGCGGCGCACCTAATGGTAAATGTCGACGCCGCCCATGAACAACTGCACCACCAAGGGAATTGACGGCTCCTTTACGCAGTGACTTGGCGATGAGTTGCAGTGCTAAGGATCGCGGGTTCGATTCCCACACGGAATAAGTATATTGTATGGCCTACAAATAATTGTTCCGAGTCTGTCTGCATGTTTGTCCTTGTGTGTAAACTGTCCCAACGATACAGGAGTAAATTCTAGTAAGGTGGTGACTTTAAAAAAAAAAGAATGAGTATCGTGGAACACTCGGTTGGAACGAAGTTTTTTGCGTAGTATATTATTATTGATAAACGTAGGTATTATATAATTGATTAACAAATACAAATAAATGAATTACTAGCTTCTATTAAAATTCGTCCACACGACGAATTTTAATAGACGCTGGAGTGGACGAAGCAAAACAAGTAGGTATGTAAGGATCGTAGCAAGTGGAAAGAATTGGTCTCTGCCTACCCCTACGGGAAAGAAGCGTGATTATATGTATGTATGTTAAAATGAAGCGTGATTTGAAATAAAATAATATTTCTTTCATGGCAAGATAAGAAACAGTGCGAGGGAGATGGATATTATTCCATCTCACTTCCTTATTTCGCCGCCAAGGCCGTCTACACTATGACACAAGGGGTAGTGACGAAAAAATCTTACACTTTTTGTCGCCTAGCTCCCATCCGCCAAACTCGTACCGTCCGATAAGGAACATCGTTCCAAAAATACATTGCCGACCTTTTAATAGGAGAAAGCTCGTTTCTTGTAGGTCCATAAGTCGTTATCGGTCCGAAAAAATCGCCGGTGGTAAACGAATCCACAACGTAGTCGTGGGAGGAGGGAAACTCCTAGTTAATGTTATATAAATAGCTAGCGACCCGTCCCTGCTTCGCCTGGATAGGATCCATTAATGTGGCGTTATTTAGACTTAAGATAATCAAAGACCACTTATTTTATAAATTTTTCATTTTTACAAAAAAGAAATTATAGGATAGGGTGATAAATGAGAACACAGTTCACCTGATGGTAACTAGTTGCTGTGGCCTATAGACATCTACATTTATCTTCTATAAAGAATCAAAATACAGACCCGTGAGGACTAGATGGAATGCCTCCTTTTCAGTAGAATGGGCCTCCGATTCTCTACACTCACCAGAAACACGGACGTGTTAAACTGCTATTTTACGCTGGTATTCTGTGAGAGCGTGGTATTTCCCCGGTCGAGCCGACCCATTCAAGCTTCCACTATACTACTAATATAGCTGCAGCATGGCTCTATCACGTATAAATATATTCAAGTTTTTCGGATTAAATATAGCCTAGATCCCTCCTGGCATTGCTCTCTATCTATCCGTAAAGTCTTATCGGTTCATTTATCATTTTTCACAGCCATTCCGAACATTAACCAGGACAGACAGACAGACAGATAAACATTTGAAATGTCGTTATTTATGTCTTCAAAACATGTAAATAACCGACTGAGTTTAATAGAAGCCGGTTATTTCAATATTACAGACAGACACCTCAATTTTATTTATATGTATAGACTAGCTGTTCCCCGCGACTTCGCTCGCGTGTTAGGGTTTTTAGGTTTTTGCACAGAACCCTTATTATTTTTCTAAAATAAAAGTAGCCTAAATTACTCCTTATGAAATCAGCTATCTGCCAGTGAAAGTCCCGTCAAAATCGGTCCAGCCGTTTCGGAGATTAGCCGGAACAAACAGACAGACAGACAAAAATTTAAAAAAAAAAATAGTATTTTTGTTATAAGTACCGTAATACGTTCATATGCATTTAGTAAAAAGCTGTAATTTTCACATTACAAACAAACACTTCAATTTTATTTATTTGTATAGATGTACAGATATAGATAATAATTTAAAGTACATACCCACTCTGACTGACGGCAACACAGGTAACGCAGCCTCCGCCGAGCAGACCCTCGATTGGAACGACTTTCCCGCTCGACACGTTGTACCCGCGCAGGGCTTCTTTCTCCGAGTCTGTCAGGCCCAGAACTACGCAGGGAACGTGTCCCAACCACGACATGCAACTGATTGCTACGTCGAGGCAGAAGATCTAAAAAAAAAAGAAAAACATACGGAGTGTCGTGGTACACTCGGTTGGAACAAAGTGCCTTTCGTAGTATATGATTATTGATAAACGCATTATATTATTAATTAACAAATACAAATAAATTAATTACTAGCGTCTGTTAAAATTAAGCATCATTTTATTTTTTTCATGGCAAGATATATATTGTATACGTGGTAGAGCCATGCTGCAGCTATATTATTGGTATAGTTGTAGCACGAATGGGTCGGCTCGACCGGGAAAGTACGCTCTCACAGAATACCAGCATAAAATAGCAGCTTAACGCTACTGTATTTCGTATGGTGAGTGTAGAGAACCGGAGACCCTTTTTACTGGAAAAGAGGCACTCCATCTCAGTCCTCACAGCTGACAACGCATCTGCATTTTGATTCGTAATCATGGATAGATATAAGATGTCTATGGGCCACAGCAACCACTTACCATCAGGTGGAGTGTGTGCCCGTTTGTTACCCTTATCCTATAAAAGAAAACCTACAGCAGGTGGCGCGCGTATCGCACCGTCACATTTACTTGAAAGTTATATATCATTCAACTTCAATTGAGTTATTATCATTGCTAATTAAACAATGTAACTCTTCCAAATTCAAAACAATATATTCGCAATTATTTCTTCTGCGGCTGCAACGCGCCGGGTACCAGCTAGTCTATTTATAATTAACTAGCTGTTCGCCGCGACTTCGCCCGCGTGTAATTTAGGGTTTTAATTATGTTGCGCGGAACCCTAATTCTTTTTATAAAATATAACTAGCCTAAGTTACTCCTTATAACATCACAGCTATCTGCCAGTGATAGTCCCGTCGAAATCGATCCAGCCGTTTCGGAGATTAGCCGGAACAAACAGACAGACAGACAGACGGACAGACAGACAAAAGTTTCAAAAATTGTGTTTTTGTTCTAAGTACCGTATATACTTTCATATGCATTTAGTAAAAAGCTGGTATTTTGGCATTACATACAAACACTTCAATTTTATTTATTTGTATAGATTACATAGTAGTGTTGAATTGAAATTAATTTTAATTTAATATTTGCTTGGCAAAATGGTAAAATGTACGGATCTTTTATGTACTCTGTCAACACCTTATTGTGAACACCAAACATTCAATGCAAATCAATAAATATTCTATTCTACTCTAATCCCCATTTAAAAACATATTCATCATCATCATCATCATTACACCTCACAAGTCCACTGCTGAACCTATGCCTCGCCAAAGGAATGCCACAAAGCACCGTTCCAAGACACCCGCATCCACTGACTTCCTGCATATCTTACCAGGTCATCACTCCGTTTAATAGGGAGCCGTCCTACACTTCGACTACCGGTATAAAGTTGTCACTCGAGAACGTTTGTTCCCATCAGTTGTCGGTTGTTCAAGTTTTATGGCCGACCCATTCCCACTTCAGCTTACTAATCCCTTGGACTATATTGGTTACTCTGGTTCTACAGCGGATACCCTCAGTTCTAAGTCTATCAGGTAGAGAATCTCCGAGCATAGCCCTCTCCACCGCTCGCTTAGTGACCTTGTGCTTCCTCATACGGCCAGCAGTCGGATCACGACTCAGATTTGCACGTCATCATCACTGGCACGACGCACTGGTTATACAATATTGTTTTCAAGTTTTGAGGTATACGTAACTAAATGTGTCGTAATCTCCCGAACGCTGCCCAGCCGAGTTGAACCCGACAATTGACCTATAGTAGAAGTTGGACTTACGAAGTCTGTGTACTAGGTAATAAACGCGACAACGTCGAACATAGTGCTCGCAAGAACTACTGGCATAGGATCGAAGAACTAATAGAATGTAAACAATTTTCACTTGACTAAGCTTCACAGGTTCTTCTAAGCCTATTGTGTGAAATTTTTTTTTGTTCGTTTTAAATCTTGAAGCCGACTCTTACTTTGTATTAAAAATCAAATTTGTTGAATATCACAAACTCGAATGTCGTTTACATAGATTAAAAAAATCATCCCCTTTCTTTTCAAATCCTCACAGAACATGGTGATTGCAAGTAGATCTACTGCGATCTATTGCGGATAGAACTTCGACTTCGTCCTCGATCAAGATTTAAATTGCAAATGCGTTGTCACCCCTGACTATTAAGATTTAAGATGGAATGCCTCGTTGCCTATCAAAAGGATCTCCGGTTCTCTACGCTCACCATACGAAAAACAGCCGCATTAAGCTGATATTTTATATTCTTGTATATATATATGCTTTTTGTATTTCTTTTTACACTTACCATTTTATCTCTGCACTACTCTAAGGCAGACTGTTAGATAATGCCTTAGGCATTAAGTCCGCATACATATATTACAGTGTATATATGTAAGTTAAATAAAATATTTTAAAAAAGTATCTCACGCTGGTATTCTCTGAGAGCGTGGTCATTCCCCGGTCGCGTTACAAATATCTAATATAGCTACAGCATAACTACCCTGTATATTATATACGTGTCTCAGTAGGATAACTTATAAAACTTGTCATGTTTAGAGTTTGGAGTACAAAATATTTTACCTTTAACGGACCGGGTTGATTGATGTTGTAAACCCTTAATTCCGAGTCCATAGAGACGGAAACAAAGGTGCCAGGCTTCTGGTAACTGAACGCGACTTCCAGCACACAGGAGGAATGGCCTTCCAGCACTTGATACACAGGATCAACCTCGCCCTCCTCGTGCGCCTTTATTTTACATAAATACAGCCTTCCAGATTTAGTACCGACTGCAAAAACGTCCGCTAGGATCCTCTCATCGTACCCTCGTAAGGGAAAGCTCTTGATAAAGTCAAAGCAGGTTATATCTGGAGCATTTTTTCCCGCGTTCAAAGTGTAACAAACCACATTCTCGAATATCTTGAGGTTTGCGTTTACCTGCCAAACGTTGATAGTACCGTCACTTCCAGACGAAATTAAAATTTGGTCGGAAGCTCCTCGACGTCTCCCCTTGCAGTTTATCTGCATAGTCAGGAACGTATTAGCTAACGTCGCGTCAGCCCAGTAGAGAGCTGACACGCGTCTGGATCCATGGCAACCTGACGGAGAAGTCAGGCCTTCGTCGTAACAGTTCGAACTGGGATTGGTTAGGTTACAAAGTACAACTTCGCCCGAAGTCGTACCATACGCCAGAAGCGCGGCCACAGTCGGATGATATTTAAGAACAGTAACACAGTTCTTCTCGGATATATCCAGCATGTGGACCAACTTATCGCCTTCCGATCGCTTCGTGGTGTACACTTTTATGAGGCCCGGATTCTGACACCAAGTCTCGTGTTGAGTTTGACCGATGGAAAGTGCTAAAGAATTACCAGCGCTGCTCCAAGTTACACTTAATATCGAGGACCGGTGGTCCCCAGCACCCAGCCCGTCGCCCTCGACCTTCATCTCTTGGAGAAGCTTTGCCGCAACCGGCTCCTCGTCTTCTGAATCCGACGAGTTGTATAGCATCTCTTTATCATTCTGTTCCAACTGTTCCATCATACCTGGCACGACTCTCCTCAGAAAATCATTGAGACCTGAAGGTGGATATTCCTTGGGGACACCGTCATCGGCGTTCAGCTCTCCAGGAGCAGCCATGCAACCAATATCTTTGGATAAAACAGTCTGCGAAGCGACCCCGCATTCACTGAACTCGCATGTTTGCGTAGATATTTCAATTCCCGATTTTTTTATTGGTGCAACACTTTCAAAGCCTACAACCTCGCTGTCGAATCCACTTAAAGCCGACATTTTTGTAATTGTTATTACTATTCTCGGTTTCTCTTATGATTATATTTTGTTTATGTTGTTGTTACTTGATGCGTTACTATGACAACAAACTATTTTCATAAAGCTTATGTGTAAAACGTAGTGGTTACATAAATACTCCTTGTATAAGGGGCTACTTAAATTATGTCAAAAGTTTTCATTACTTTAAAAATAAGAAAATTAAATATTTTTTGAAATAATAATAATATAATAATAATGTCCTCCAGACCGAGTTCAGGTCACAGCGGCCAGCCTCAACGGAGACTAGCCATCGGCGCAGTACTGGATTATAGGGCCAAGTGTGTGCGCAAGCACAGGTGCACTCTCTATTGCCTCACTCTCGTAGTCCTATGAGACGGTAAACCGACAAGACCGGAGAGAGATCAGGCGCAGGACCAACGGCTTTACGTACTTTCCGAGGCACGACGGTGAGACACCGCCAACTTCCTGGCTCCGGGCACTGAGAATTTCTTGATGGAAAAACTAAATACCTGATTTTTTGGTCCGACTCGGGATTCGAACCCGGGACCTCATGATCAGCAGTCGCACTACTACAACCACTAGACCAACGAGGCGGTATTTTTAGAAATAGTATGTACATAATTTGGAATATCATGACAACTTAACTGCCCAAACTCACTCTCTGTTCTACTCAACGTTAGCTGGTTGAGAATGCCATATAGCTTTAAGCTCGCCTTTTGTACAAATATTTAGTGCAATAAAGAATAAATAAATAAATTATAATATAATTTATTTATTATTAATTGTAATAATATTTTATTTTTTAGAAAATTAACTTAAGGGATTTAACTAAAATGGTTAATACTACAATGACCTTAATACGAACAGTGCAGTGCTTAGATTTCTAATCTAAGTTTTTTTTATTTTATTAACTGTTCACAGTCCAGCTGATTGTAAGTGGATGTTGTAGCCCATACACATCTACGATTAATGGGGGCCGTTCGTAAAGTTTCATCGCAATTGGTTCAGCCATTCAGAAGATTATCCCGGTGTGACACACAACACACCGAACCCTAAATCACGCTATCAAAGTTTCAAAGTGCTACGCTATATATATATATATAGAAGAGTTCTATACTAACACACGGAATGTTGAGAACGTGAGAGAACTCCCCTTTGCACTCCACGGCCAGTTCAAATTGTCATCTCTTAGTTTTAATTATACTGGCACTCTTGCTTTATACCCTTCAGAGCGACACACAGCAAGGTACCATTGGCGGCAGAAATATGAGGGTGGTATCCACCCTCCTAAGCAACAAAGAGGATACCTGCCAGGTAGTTATATCACCTTCTAAATGGATATGTCTCTCCAGTGGCGAATTATCCCTGAGACAAACTAAGCACATGCCTAGGGGCGCAAGGTTACAAAGGGTTGCGTGGGGAAGTTATCACCAGGGAAATTGCAGGAGTTGCCGGCCTTCAAGAAAGAGTAAGCTCTTTTCTTGAAGGTCCCTAAGTCGAATCAGTCCGAAAAAACCATTGGCGACAGTAAATTAAACAGTATGGTCGTACAAGGCAGAAAATTCCGAGTAAATCGCACAGTAGTGAACCCGCCCACCATCGAGATGATGAGGATGGAATTTCGAGTTTTTTCGCAGTGTAAGATGGTGGAAATTGAATTATGCAGCTGGTATTAACCCAAACAACAACAACATGGTATATGAGGTAGAAGATGCATAGAGATGCAACGTCTCTTTGCACGGCCAGTGAATCAGGCCGATTGAAATGACTTGATGTCGACGATTCGGGCCGCTCTCCGTTGAATACGGTCAAGTTGAAGGAGCTGATACTGAAGTGCCTCGGTCCAGAGCTAATAATAGTATTCAATATGAGGCCGAACCTGCGCCTTGTAAAGCTGCAAGCGGTGGGCCGGCATGAAATACCATCTCGATCTACTGAGCACACTAACCATTTTGTGATGCCAGTTTAGCCCTCCCTTCCAAGTAACTTCCGCTGTTACTTGGAATGGAGGGCTAAACTGCGGAACTGTACGTCTGTCGAAATGTCGGCGGCAAGGATTCCGATGCTGGTTGCGGCAACGAAGGGAGTGCCCTGAAATTGAGGAGATTCGGCAAAGGGGTTGTGATTGCATCCCGGGACATAAATAATGTTTGATGAAGAAAAATAGAATAATTTATAAATTTGGCTCAAAGGATTTCGATGAAAATTTTTGTGTTTGAGTGGGTCTATGGATAGTTTGGAATCACAATTGGACCCTGTAGATGGCACTGTTATCTCTTGATAACAGGATCTCAGGAAATCACCCGTGCGAAGCCGCGACAGGTCGCTGGTACATTGTGTTGCAAATAGTTTTAAAATCGGGCTAAATTTATAATTAGATAACTTAGGTAAGTGTTACTAGATGCTTGGTAAGTTCATTTCTAAGTGTTAAGATCCCTGTTAAGCAGTAAGATTTTAATTTAGATAGTAAACATTTTTAATAATGATACATTTTCGTCGATAAATTATTGTAGCTTAAAAATGCAAAATTAGGTACCACTAGCGACCCGCACCGACTTCGCCTAGATGGGATCCACTAATGTGGCTTTATTTAGAATCAAGGTAATCAAAGTATGGACTATTTAGGTAGTTTACCAATCTTTAATTTTTTATTTAAAATAATCAAGTTTTTTGTATAACATATAGCTTGCATTACTCTCCAAATATTCGTAAAGTTTTTGTTACAATCGGTTTAGCCCTTCCAAAGATAAGCCCGAACACACATACAGTCAAAAAATTTGAAAATGGTTGTTTGTCTTATTAGAATGCAAATAATTCCCTAAGCGTAAATTACCTAAAGACACTTCAATTTTACTTATATGTATAGATTAGACAAAGCTTGTCACATTTAGTATGAAATAAGTTATCAGCTGTTAGGTACCATTTAGGTGCCTAGTTTAAATGAAACACAAACAAGTAAATCAAATGTATTTTATTTAACAAATTTACACTTATTGCACACTGTACACATGATATTTTCTCTCAAAATCATCGATATTTTTAGTCACGATATAAGTAGCGATATTTATTTTAGAGAATCGTATTCGTATCAATTTCGATATATTTTAAAATGTTATTTTTATTTTGTATTTTAATATTAAATCAAAAACATTAATTTGCTGTTTTTTTCGTAATCAAAACGTCCTGTATAAAAATGTTCTCCCTTATCCTACTACATCATTCAAAACGTGAAGATATATCGATATTTATAATGCGATAGTTATCGATAGTTTCAAAATATCGATATATTTTATTCACTTGCCCATCCCTACAAAAAAGACGCTGACTCCAGTATTATCACTACAGCAATATTGTTATTGCTGGTCGAATCAAGGTGTCATACTTTCAGTCAACAGACTTGTTTTGACCATCCTATAAAAGCCGTTGCGATTATAATTGTATTCGTTATAGTTCTCATGGTAGTAATGTTAATCATTTAGATATTATGGAAGTCAGTACTGCAATGAATTACATTTAATTTTGTTTATTTTTGTAACGAAGTTCCTTATCGGACGGTACGGGTTTGGCGGATGGGAGCTAGGCGACAAAAACTGTAAGATTTTTTCGTCACTACCCCTTGTGTCATAGTGTAGACGGCCTTGGCGGCGAAATAAGGAAATGAGATGGAATAATATCCATCTCCCTCGCACTTTTTCTTATCTTGCCATGAAAGAAATATTATGCCGTGCCCCCAGATTATTTCATTTCAAATGACGCTTCATTTTAATGGACGCTAGTAATTCATTTATTTGTATTTGTTAATCAATAATATAATACCTACGTTTATCGACAATAATATACTACGCTAGGAACTTCGTTCCAACCGAGTTGAGAACCACACTCACGCATTTATTTTTTATTTTTAAGAAGCTTCAGCACCGCTCCCGAAATTTAACTAGGTACATTTAATGCCTTTACGTACTACCCACTACAAGTACGGTCCATGGAGTGGTGAAAATCTGACGTATAACAGTTCCATTGCCCGAGAAAATCAATCTGTTGACAACTCGTCCGATTGAATGAAAATTCGATCGTTTGAGATTTTATGCACCCGTGTGAGAGTCAGTCGCATACAGATAGACGGCAATCAGACCACGGGTCGCATATCTCGTCATGTGCGGTCAGTGTGCCCTATGCCCCTTTTTCTATCGTGTCTCCTGTGTTATCCCCCGAGCATCACCCACGTCTCGAGTGTCCTCTGTGATCCTAGTGTCTCCCGTGTCCCCTGTGCCCCGAGTATCCCCCGCGCCCTTCTTGCTCCCTTTGCCCCGCTTGCCCCTCTGGCCGCCGTGTACATTGATGCGGTGCATGTGCAGAGAGTTGTTGGCCTTGAACCGCGCCGGGCACTGCGAACACTGCAAAAACACAGTTAGTCACCGCACAGGTTAAATACACAATAACCAGCGTAAAAATACCATCATAACGCCGATGTGTTCCTTATTTTATATGGAATAAGGGTGACAAACGAGCACACGCTCCACCTGATGGTGAGTGGATGCTGGGGCCCATACACATATACATGTGAATACGATTAAGAATCTAAATGCAGATCACTCTCCTCTGATCACTAAGATGGGAGACTTCGTTTCCAGTAAAAAGTGTCTCCAGTTCTCAACACTCACCATACGAAACAGTGTGTGTCTGCATTTTGATTCTTAACCGAGGATAGATGTAGATGTCTATGGGCCACAGCATCCACTTACCATCAGGTGGACTGTATGCTCGTTTGTAAAAAAAATTTAAAAAAATTTAAAAAAATTATAAAGCTAGATTTACAAGTGATAGTGTAACGTTTGAGAGCAATTTCAAAATACTTGATAATAAGTATTCATAACACGGAGCTTCAAAATACAAAATTACATAGGTGAAGAAGGGCCTTTTGTGTTAAGGCATCTTGCTTGAAGAAGAACAGGGGGAGGAGTAGTTCTCCCTTGAGGGATTGCCAAAGGTCGACTGACAGTGGAAAGTTTTAGTTGATGCAAGTCCCAAATTAACGCGCGGTTTCAAAATACCAACTACACCCTATCATCCCGTGGGTGTCGTAAGAGGCGACTGAAAGAAACAAATTAGATGGGCAGAAAATCTATTCCTATTACGGCGGCTCTTCACGTTGGCCAACACACTGGCGAATGTGTTGGCCCACAACGATGGCCATCGTGTAGAGCGGGTGTTTAAGCTACGTTGGTATGTATTGGAACGATGGCCCAGAAGTTGGCGCGAGATCCGTGTGGTGTCGGTTTTTTGCAAAAGATCAAAGGGTTGTGGCAGAGTATTGGTCGCGTCCACACGTTGGGCGCACGTTCAGTTTGCTACGAGCTTCCAGACTGATTGCACGCACCTGATTTAAATTTTATATGCACGCATCGTAACTAGTGTCTACATAACGGCAGTAACAATGACCAATGAAAAAACTTTTCGCTTTATAGAGCCCTACCAAGCCGAAAATTGTTTGTAAAACACAAGTATTTTTAAAAAAAAATGTTATTATACACTAGGATTTTCTCCTGTATCGTGGAGGCAGTTTAGAAACATAAATTGCATAAGGACAAACATCCAGACCCGGACAAATTATGTGCAGGCTATACAAATACTTGTTCCGTGCGGGATTCGAACCCGCGGCCCCCAGGGCAGCAACTCATTGCTAAGCCACTACGCCACGAAGCCGTCAAGAAATAAAATTTCTTTTTTCCATTTCTTTTTGATCACCCTTATCTTATACACATTCACGTTGTAGTGATTAATTGTGTATTAATTTATTTATTAAATATCTTAAAATCTATAATATATATTAAAATCAAATTAAAAAGTAGGATACTAAAATCATGTTTTTACTGCTTTATTATTCACTATTAGTTACTTTATTTCGTTAATAATACTGTAATTTTTAGCTATGGACGAGCGAAGTCACCTGTTACAGGCATTATTTTGCTTACTAGGTGACCTCGATCACTGATCATATAATGTAACTTTAATGTTTGACGAAATAAATTATTTATTATAATTATTAAGTTTTATTCTATAATTATATAATAAGAATAACCCTTTTTAAAAAGGTTTGGTTTAATAAAATTTGACAACAGTTTCATAGACAGGTTTCGAATATTTTCCAGGCCTTAGTTGTAAAAGTGTTAATTATACCTATGCCTAGGTGTGTTAATGTTTATATAGTTCACTTATCTGTATAACGTTAGTGTATAATAAAGAATTTTTAAAAATTTATATTAAAAATATTAAATATAAAAAATAGTGAAAATTAAATAAAAAAAATAGTTGTATGCTGTGAATAAATAAACCGCAGCAGCCGTTAGCGCATCAATAATCATTTTAATGAATTCGTCCACACATTGGCCTGAACCGAAGCAAACTGAACGACCTTCCAACGTGTGGACGCGATCACAATTTCTTGGCCAATAACTCTGCCAACACATTAGCGACTGTGTTGGCCAACGTGAAGAGGCGCCATAACATGAAAAATAAAAAAAAACATGCGTGAGTGTCGTGATACACTCGGTTGGAACGAAGTTCCTTTCTTGGTATATTATTATTGATAGACGTATTATATTATTGATTAACAAATACAAATAAACTAATTACTAGTGTGGAGGTTTTGCGGGTTGGATGGTTTTGGAAACGAAGTTGCTTATCGGACAGTACGAATTTGGAGGATGGGGGCTAGGCGAGAAAAGTGTAAGATTTTTCCGTCACGACCCCTTCTGACGTAGTGTAGACGACCTTGGCAGCTATAAGGAAGCGAGATGGAATAATATCCCTCTCTCGCACTTTTTGTGTTTTATCTTGCCATGAAAGAAATATTATTTTATTTTAAATGACGCTTCATTTTAATAGGCGCTAGTAATTCATTAATTAATTTGTATTTGTTAATCAATAATATAATACGTTTATCAATAATAATATACTACGAAAGGAACGTCATTCCAACCGAGTGTTTCACGACACTCACGCATGTTTTTTGAAATTTATTTTTTTGTTTTTTTTTTTATTAACTAGCTGTTCCCCGCGACTTCACCCGAGTGTTATTTGAGTTTTAATTTTTTTGCAAGTAGAAAGAAGGCACTATTTATTCGATTCGATTCGATTTTACGTGGCAGAGCTATGCTGGAGCTATATTAATAGTATAGATGATGTAGTACGAATGGGTCGGCTCGACCGGGGAAGGACCACGCTCTCATAGAATACCAGCGTAAAATATCAGCTTAATGCTGCTGTGTTTCGTATGGTGAGTGTAGAGAACCGGAGACCCTTTTTTGTGCAAACGAGGCATTCCATCTTAGTCCTCGCGGGTAACGCATCTGCATTTTGATTCGTAATCGAGGATAGATGTAGATGTCTATGGGTAACAGAAATTTCACTTACCATCAGGTGGACAGTGCTCGTTTGTCACTCTAATTCTATGAAAAAAAAAACACACATTTCTGATCTAGTCTTTCTTTGACTTCGTTTCTAATCTTAAACTGGTGCATGCATATTTTTGCCCCTTGCGTCTGTATATTTCATGCTCACCGTGTATGGTCTCTCTGTGCGGTGCGAGTGCTTGTGCTGTGCGAGTAGGTAGGCTGCATGGAAGTTCGCTCCGCACCGCTCGCACACAAACGGCTTCTCGCCGCGGTGACGTCTCTCGTGGTTCTGTGGCCACGCACAAATATACGGTCTATAGGTATATATCTATAGGTGTATATAAATAAAATGGAAGTGTCTGTCTGCAATATTTTTAAAAAGTTTATCCGTATGTCTGTGTATGCAGGCTAATCTTCGGAATGGCGAAGCCTGACAGTCAGACATACAGCAGGATATTTTATCTATGTCGATATAAACCCCCAAGTTTCATAGAAGCCAGTTATTTCAATATTACAGACAGACGCTCCAAATTTATTTATATTTATAGATAAAAAATTGTTATTTAAAATACATGTTTTTACTAATACTTGATTAATCATTTAATAAAATCAGAAAACTTTTGAAATCTGGCAACACCGTCGTATCGTTGAATGTGTTGAGACCACAGTGAAGAAAATCGCGAATGCGTAATAAAAGCATCTCGCAACACACGCACACTAGGGCAGGGTTCACATTTAGAAGCACACATACAGAACTTGATGCGGTAGTACCGCGTGTACGTGCGTGTGTCACGTGTACGTGCACGTTCGTGTGTGTGTGTATGTATGTGTGTGTGTGTGTGTGTGTGTGTGTGTGTGTGTGTGTGTGTGTGTGTGTGTGTGTGTGTGTGTATGTGTGTGTGTGCGTGCGTGCGCGTGCGTGCGTGCGTGCGTGCGCGTGCGTGCGTGCGTGCGTGCATGCATGCGTGCGTGCGTGCGTGCGTGCGCGTTTGTGCATGAGTGTATGCGTGCAAGTACTTGTGTTACGTGTGGGTGCGTGCAACAAACATACGCAGTTTGTGTGTGTGTGCGTACTTATGCGTAGGTACCGTCATGGCGAGCAGGCTGGCGCTCTGGAAGTGGCAGGAGCCGCACTGGAACTTGTCGTGTCCGTGGCGCGCGCGGCAGTGCTCCAGCAGACGCAACTTGTTGCCGAAGCGACGTCCGCAGTGCTGTGCAATTGATCATCCTCATCATTACAACCTTTCACAAGCCCGAAGCTGAACAAAGGTTTACCCCAAAGAAAGTTATAAAACACGGTCCTGAATATCACTTGCACTTTTTATATAAAATAAGGGTGACAAACGAGCACTCAGTCCACCTGATGGTAAGTGAAATTTCTGTTACCCATAGACATCTACATCTATCCTCGATTAAGAATCTAAATGCAGTTGCGCTGTCACCCCTGTGGACTAAGATGGAGTACCTCGTATCCAGAAAAAGATATCCGGTTCATTAAGTAAAACTAATTTTACGGATTTTATCGCGTTTAATTTAACTTTTTAATTCCCGTGCTTTACAGTACTCGTGGTCAGGGGGGGGGGGACTGAGGTGTTTGACGTCCCGATGTCATAGTTAGCCCGGCTATCCTCAGTTTTTGAATATTAATTTTTGATCCGATCTACGCAGAATGAGCTTACAGTATCTTGAAGTCTTGCAGTGGTATGCTTGGGTTTAGATTTAATTTTATTAATTATAGGATCCCAAGCAGATGGCAGCACCCATCCATCTTCTCTATTGAAATTAGGATGTTTTTTTTTTAATTTCAGTAGCCTCGAGAATCATCCTTGGTAGGAATCGGTGTTCTTTTGCGAGGATTTGTGGTTTATCAAATCTAATGTAATGGCTGGGGCGATCTAGAACATGTTCACACACTGCAGACTTCCCGAAACGTCGGTGCTTCAAGTCAGCTATATGTTCTTTCACGCGGGTTTTAATAGATCTTTTTGTTTGTCCTATGTAAGAGAGACCACATTCACAATCCAGCTTGTACACTCCTGCATCTTGTAGCGAGATATGACACTTGACGCATGGTAAAAATTTACTAATCTTCTTCGGCGGCTTGAAGTATGTTTTAATGGAAGCTCGCTCCAAGATGTAGCCAACCTTTTCTGTGACTCCTCTGATATAGGGTAGTACACACGCACACGCTCGACTGTGGCCGGCTTCACTCGGTCACTGTGACGTAGGCGCGGAACCGAAGCTTGTTGTCTTGCAATACTTGCTCGACGTGCTGAAGCTCGGCGGCCAGATGTTTTCTGTCACAGATCCCTCGTGCTCTCTGAAACAAAGATTTTCCCACAGTAGCTAACTGTGATGGATGATGGTGCGATTCACCATTTAAATATCGGTTGGTATGGATCTATTTCCTATATACAGTATGACCAATAGTGTTATCAGGATTTCAGATGACTAAAACATCTAGGAAAGCTAAAGAATTGTTTGCCTCTAACTCCATTGTGAATTGTATTTTACAAGCGGTACGTAGACGATACTTTCACAATTTTACCATCTGACAAGGTAACTGCAATAACCACCTTAATTCCATAAACTCTAAAATTCAATTCACAATGGAGTTAGAGGCAAACAATTCTTTAGCTTTCCTAGATGTTTTAGTCACACTATTGGTTAACACTATTGGTCACACTGTATATAGGAAATAGACCCATACCAACCGATATTTAAATGGTGAATCGCACCATCATCCATCACAGTTAGCTACTGTGGGAAAATCTTTGTTTCAGAGAGCACGAGGGATCTGTGACAGAAAACATCTGGCCGCCGAGCTTCAGCACGTCGAGCAAGTATTGCAAGACAACAAGCTTCGGTTCCGCGCCTACGTCACAGTGACCGAGTGAAGCCGGCCACAGTCGAGCGTGTGCGTGTGTACTACCCTATGTCAGAGGAGTCACAGAAAAGGTTGGCTACATCTTGGAGCGAGCTTCCATTAAAACATACTTCAAGCCGCCGAAGAAGATTAGTCAATTTTTACCATCCTTCAAGTGCCATATCCCTCTACAAGATGCAGGAGTGTACAAGCTGGATAGTGAATGTGGTCTCTCTTACATAGGACAAACAAAAAGATCTATTAAAACCCGCATGAAAGAACATATAGCTGACTTGAAGCACCGACGTTTCGGGAAGTCTGCAGTGTGTGAACATGTTCTAGATCGTCCCAGCCATTACATTAGATTTGATAAACCACAAATCCTCGCAAAAGAACACCGATTCCTACCAAGGATGATTCGCGAGGCTATTGAAATTGAAAAACATCCTAATTTCAATAGAGAAGATGGATGGGTGCTGCCATCTGCTTGGGATCCTATAATTAATAAAATTAAATTCAAACCCAAGCATACCACTGCAAGACTTCAAGATACTGTAAGCTCATTCTGCGTAGATCGGACCAAAAATTAATGTTCAAAAACTGAAGGTTGCCGGGCTATGACATCGGGACGTCAAACACCTCAGTCCCCCCCCCCCCCCTGACCACGGGTACTGTAAAGCACAGGAATTAAAAAGTTAAATTAAACGCGATAAAATCCGTAAAATTAGTTTTACTTAATGAACCGGATACCTTTTTCTGGATACGAGGTACTCCATCTTAGTCCACAGGGGTGACAGCGCAACTGCATTTAGATTCTTAATCGAGGATAGATGTAGATGTCTATGGGTAACAGAAATTTCACTTACCATCAGGTGGACTGAGTGCTCGTTTGTCACCCTAATTCTATGAAAAAAAAAACACATTTCTGATCTAGTCTTTCTTTGACTTCGTTTCTAATCTTAAACTGGTGCATGCATGTTTTTGCCCATTGCGTTTGTATATTTCTTTAAATATGTGTAAAATGTGTATATCAAACAAATAAGTGCTTTCATTCTGTCCGTAAAGATGCTATAGTGTATGGTCTCTCTGTGGTGCGAGTGGTTGTGCTGTGCGAGCAGGTAGGCTGCATGGAAGTTCGCTCCGCACCGCTCGCACACAAAGTGTGTAGTCTTCGCGTAAATATACGAAATCACTATGGTATCCAGTTCTCTATGTTCAATATACAAGGCACAGCAGCATTGAGGTGCTATGTCATGCTGGTTTTCTGTGAGAGCGTGTTCCTTCCCCAGTCGAGCCGAACTATTCGTCTTCAACCATAATATAGACTTCTTGCATATCCTACCAGGTTGTCACGCATCTAGTGGGCGGTAGTATTGGGCGACAATATAGACAACTTTAGAGAAGAATGGTTCACGAACAGTGCACACTTAGACTACCTCTATGCCTCTTTATCGGAAATTAAAAAGTTAAAATTAAACGCGATAAAATCCGAATAATTAGTTTCATTTAACAAATAAAGATACTTTAATGTTCAATGTTAACATATTCTACTCACCTCACAAACTGGTCCAAGGCCGGCGTGTTTGACCGCCTTATGCAAACGCAAACTCCCCCTCTGCATCTCCTTGTGACACACGTCGCACTCTGTCAACTTCCTACCCTACAAAGAACAATGGCCATTTTGGACTACAAAAAAAATAAATTGAGAACATTATCAATTTAATTAATTGATATCATCAGTTATTTTGAGAAGTTGGAGAAACATAAATAATCATCTTTAAAAACTATAACTTTGCATGTCAGAATGCAGCACTAGCGTCGAGACAGCTAGATTAGTTTATTTCAGTTCATTTCCATAGCATAATGATTTTGCTATGGTCAAATGCGGCTGATTTAGAAACTATTTTTGTTTTACAGAAGAGGGCCATTAGAGCTATTTACAACCTAAAACCGAGAGTATTCTTAAAAAATTTAAAGAAATAAATATATTAACTTTGGCCTCTCAGCATATTTACGAAAATTTAATGATGTTCACAAAAACTAAGGTAGTTTTAGTAAAAATGTCCTGAGCCACTGCGTCACAGAGCCGTCGAAGTTTGTTTAAATCTTTAGTTTTATAAAAAAAAATATAGCTCTAAACAATACATAAACTTACCGATTCATATTTTTTCCTTTTCTTCTTAGCAGAACATGTTGAGACATGTTTCAGCAGTGTTTGCTTGCTGTCGAATTGTAGTTTACAGTGCTGGAAAGATAACAAATAAGAAGATAATATTTAAGAAATACAATTTGTTTACAATTCATAAGTTTTCCGTTATTGTAAATATTTAACGATTTTATGCAATAACGAGTTATGTATGTGGTAGCTATATAAATATAAAAATATAATGATAAGAAATATAGTGATTTCTTATTTATTTACATGAACACTGCAAATTATATATAATTATGTCAAACGCTAATCTATATCTGTACTAGTCTTGTGTAGTTTGTGAACAATAAAATTAAACTGGAATAAACACATAAATAAAGTCTGTATGTAGTAAGCTCAATAAATTTGTATTCGCTCTTTGCAAACTAAGACTCACAGCCAGTAAAGAAAAAGTCCTCAGTGCATATCATTGGTACATCTCTTCGATACTACGCTATGGTTAGCAGTATTAGTTATATGGGGTAATTCAGTGGATGTAGGCCAGTGTAAGCCATTATTTCATAAATTAAAGATACTTTCACTGCTCTGTCTCTATATTTATAAAATTTCTTTGTTTGTTAAGAGATATTCCCTATCTATTTTCAATAAATGAACGTGTTTCCAAAAAGATCCAAGACGGAAACCCAAAACAACTAGTGGCACCATCCCAAAGACTTCATTTGTATATTCGTAATGCCCACACCATGGCAATAACAATCTATAATAAGCTGCCACAAACAGACAACAGACAACAGATCAGAATGCCTATAAATAAATTTAAACATGCAATTATTTTCATGACTTTGAATATGTGTTTCCAGTCTGTTAAGAGTTTCATAGATTATAAATTTATAAGTTATATATATAATTTAAATAATATATTTAATAAAATTAATAATTTCTATGTAATGTTGTAAATGTATAAATTTGCCTAAATAAGTATTATAAAATCTTAAATTTTATTTTAATTGTAATATGTCTACACCAGATATGGTAGTATGTGTGAACCATTCTACAATTTCAACATCTGTAAATACCATATACTAAGAAATAAACGATATTCTATTCTATTCTAAAAGATTAGGAAATGTATTTTAGCCCTGTACTAGAAGAAACGTTTGTGAACGCTGATTGTTAATCAGTCTAATAGCTCCTCGTACTTACGCCAGACCGCACGCGCGAACGAGAACTTGCGAAAGCGAGTGAGCGAAAGAGTCGGTATGTCATTCGGACAAGAGCCAACCAAAGCCTGAAATACTACCATTTACCAATGATTAAAAATGGTATTATATTATATTTATGCTATTTACTAGCTTCTAAGCTCAGGGGGTTACTTGCATGGTATTAATACATAAATAGCCATTTTAAGTCTTTTTGTCTGTCTGTATGCCCAAGCTAATCTGCAGAATGACAGAACTGATTGTGATGAAACTTTATAAACACATAGAGAATAATGTCTGGAAGGATCTAGATTATATTTCATCCTTGATTATCATAGCTATACTTATGAGATCTTTTATTTTGCCAACCTCCTGACCAAAGGCTGCTACTGTGAATAGCCTTTGGTCAGGATAATAAAAGAAAATATCATTTTACGTGGTAGAGCCATGCTGCAGCTATATTAATAGTATAGTTGTAGCATAAATGGGTCGGCTCAACCGGGGAAGCACCATACTCTCACAGAATACCAGCAGGAAATAGCAGCTTAATGCTGCTGTGTTTTGTATGGTGAGTGTAGAGAACCGGACACCTATTTTACGGGAAAAGAGGCATTCTATCTTAGTCATCATGGCTGACAACGCCATTGAGCTATTATGTACTACGTACTAGAGGCGATGGTGCATTTAGTTACGATGTCCCATTCAATTGCGGTGATGACGCCGCACTTTACTCAGTCACTCGCTTGGTGTTAATGAGTTGACACGAGCTGTGTTGATTATATAAAAAAAAAACTCTTGATAAAATATGCCATGGTGTGTTTTGAGATATCGCACAAATAATTAAAGAAATGTAAGCAAATACAAAGGAATAACTTTTCATCCGAGAAAAGACACCTAATTAATAAAAAAGTATTATAGGTTAATAATCAAACAAATTATTCCTAAGACGCCATCTCGTGTCATGGAATATAAATTGTGAAATTAATTTGTTCAGATGAGACGTTTCTGTAGGTAAGTAACACGATTATAATATACACAATTTTTTTTGTAGAAAAAAAATAGGAGTATTTATAACTAGGCTAAATTTCGCTGATTATTCTTTTATTTAATTTTTAGGTTTCCAAGTGGAATAAGTTTGTCCATTTTTGACTCTCGCGTGCCCAGCATTTATGAACGACTCATAATCTAATCTAAATAAATATATTTTTAAATTAAATGTTATATTAATAAGTTTTGTTAAACATACATTTAGTGTTTTTATATTTTACATAGTTACCTCTTAAAATATTCAAATTAAAATGTAATTGTGATATAATACTATGTAATATTATATTAAATTAGCACATAATATTATAAGTAAAATAAATGACAAATTTTAAAAATTTTACTCGATATAATTTTTGTAAATAACAATAAAATCTATTATTACATACTGATCGATAATTCTACCTACGTATAATCTGTGTGAGAACTACCGCGCATGCGCCACATTACTCTCCCCTGCGCATGATTGAAGACATGAGTACATTTTTTGTTTGAAATAGCTGTTCTAGTATGTAAGTATGTATTACTTCAATGGACAATGCATCTAAATTTTAATTGGCAAATGAAGATAGATGTAGATGTCTATGGGCCATAATCACTTACCATAAGGTGAACTGTGTGCTCGTTTATCACCCTAATTCTATAAAAAAAATCTCAATATAACTGGTTTTGACCTGACTCGAGATTCAAATTGGGGACCACATAATCAGCAGTCGCGCTTACAACCACCAGACCAATGAGATAGAAAGAAAATTATATAGTGATTACTAATCCACCCCAGGTCATCTGGATCTCGACAATAGGCCACCTATGGGGTTCAACTTAGACTCACACTAAACCATCCAGAGAACCACTCAAACACAAAAATTTCATCAAAATCAGTCTGTTTTTGTATAACAACATGTATAGAAGAATTATATATATAAAGATAGTTACCGCACATATTTTTAAATCTGGGCCGTGCATCTTCAACTGATGTATTCGTAATCTGTCTCTCAATACAAATTTATCACACAGCTCACACTTGACCTTCCTCTCGTCAGTTCCTGGGTGACACTTGTTCATATGCACAGCTATGCTCCTTATCGATAGATTTTTCTGACATATCTTGCATGTCACTCGTTTCTGTCTTAATTGTGGTTCAGTATTATGTCTTGTTTCTGTATTACCTTTTTCAATATGATTTTGAGTGTTTTCGTTTTTTAATTCTTTTGTGCTATCTTGGGAATGAACAGTTTTTTCATTAAGAACATTTGAAACATCTGAGATTAAGTCACCATTACTTTCACATTTTATTGACGTTTCAGAGTGTGTCTTAATTGTATTTTCAGAGATATCAAGCTTAAAGTCATCAAATGAGTTTACCATTTCTATCATAGACTTTAAAGGTTTGTCATCTTCATCCTTTGTTTCATCATTCTCTTGTTTAATCTCCACATGTTCATCTGGAAGTGTTTCAACTTTAAATTCAGTTTCTAGTTGTCTTTCTATAACTTTGTCATGTATTCCATTTTTAAATTTTAATAAGTGACTTTCTGTGGTTATACATAGCTCTCTAAATTTAATAGCATCATTAAGGGAGCTCACACAGTTCAAGCACAGGTTCTGTGGGAAACCGTCGTTATATTCAATCTGAAAAATAATATAATAACTTAACTGCTGAAAGATGTGCTAAGTAGTAACAATGTAGTGGCGGTGTTAGAATATCAACTACCCCATATCGTATCATGGGTGTTGTAAGAGACGAGAAAGGGAAACCGAAACAGGGGATGGACAGCAGAATCTTCCCACGAGTGGTATGTTGGAACTGGAATGAGTTCCCTTCCATTTAGTAGCAGAAAGATTTTTTAAATAGAATAACAGTAACAAACAAGCACATAGTCCATCTGACGGCAAGTGGATTCTATAGATAGAGATATAAATTTATCGTAGATGAAAATGCATGTGTTGTCACCCCTGTGGACTAAGATGAAATGCCTCGTTCCCATTAAAAGGGGTATCTGATACTCTACACTTGCTATATGAAACAGAAGCATTGAGCTGCTATTTTACAGTTGTAATCTGTGCATGTGGTCCTTGCCCGGTTGAGCGAACCCATTCATCCTACAACTAAAACATACCTACAGTATGGCTCAAGTGTTTCTTTTACTTATTATAAGCTAGTGTTTGACCATAATCCCACCTGGTACTGGTAGTAAGTGGTGATCAAGCCCTAGATGGTAAATCACACCCAGGGTTAAATTTATTTGTAATGATGCTTGTTAAAAAACTGGCAGTTAGAAAAAATGTAAATTTCTCATCATATCTTTATATAATTCAACATTATTCTCATTATGGTGCAATTGGCAATTATGCTCTTGGGCATGACATACATGAAAAGTTTACGAGATAAAACAAATGCAGTTTTTGTAGTACCTTAACACCAGAAATTAAGTAAATATCTTTTGAGTATCGATCGGTTGAATTCGAAAATAAAGGGTTTAGGGTTGTTTTCCCCAAACAAGTCCGACAAACGGTTTCTAGCTCCATTTAAAATGATAATTTCAATATAATATATAATTATATATGGTCATCGATCACATTAAATTGCTTAAATTAAGGAGTAATACGTATCATACTCTCTAACTTTTACTATCACTCACTACAAGCACAGGTAAAATCATAACAATTTAGACATCTTAAACGCTAATCAACTCTGTGAGTGAAAACCGAAAGTAACCGAAAGTTTGACTAGAACGTAGTGATTTAATTATAAAGAACACTACTATTAATTTCTACCCGAGACCTCAAGTTTAACCAAAACCTTACAATTTAACACTTTTTATTAATTTATTTATATCAAAGAGTAAACTCTCCTATACAAGGAAATTTATATAAATATTTACAATTACATATTTAATTTTGCTGTTGTTGTTATTATATGACAGACAAAGTTCTTTAGCCATACAGGCTAGTCTGATTTGTATTCTGTTCACAAAATTCTTTAACAAGTTGCTGATGCATCACATTTCCATTTGTTAAATTTCTGGGAAATTTTGGCGACAGCGTAAGCCAGATTATTTCTCAGGGGCTCTAAGCGGATACAAAAACCTGACATTTATATCACTACCATAGCTCTTGTTACATCTTCAACTTCACTTTTATGTATTCCCCTTCTAACCCTGTTTCAACCAATAAAAATGGAGCAGCAATCTGCTGGCGCTGGCGGTCAAGTTTCCGCCAAAACTTTCATATTTTACTATCGGTATAAAATATATATAGCTCGAAGAGCCGACAACCGATGGGGAAGAAAGGTTCTCGAGTGGCAGCCTCGTACCGGCAGGCGAAGTGTAGGGCGTCCCCCCACTAGATGGAGTGACGACCTGGTAAGATATGCAGGAAGTCGATGGATGCAGGTGGCTCAGGACCGTGCTTTGTGGCATTCTTTGGGGGAGGCCTATGTTCAGCAGTGAACTTGTGAAGGGCTGTAATGATGATGATGATAAAATATAGACTGTTGACAAATTTACACGATTTCTTAGTCTCAGGACGCTTCCACAAGTACCAAGGCTATACAAATGCTAAACTCGCATTTGGGAGTTATTTACGTGCATGTGAATGCGTTAATGTGCTCCGAAGTCCGAAAACACAAACAAGCATGGCGGACATCAAACTTGTTTCAGCTATTGCAGACTTAGATTATTTACTCTCTAGATAACGCCTCACGCAATGAGCGATGCAAGCAACAAAAACTGGCCAGTGTTTACAAACGTGTGTACGCACTCACGCTAGCGGTTGCTATGTCTTACACCAGCGTCATTTGTATCTGGGAGTTACCAGGTAATGAATCTATCCCGATAAAATGGGGAAAACTGTAAAATTATGTCATGTTAATAAAATCATAATATTTTAATATGGTGCTTTCAATTGTGTGTTTAGTTGTCTGTGCAGTTAGAATCTGAATTTTTTTGTATAGGAAAATATTATTTCTTGGCCAATATCTCTGCCAACACATTCGCCACTATGTTGGCCAACGTGAAGAGCCGCCATAACACGTGTCTGTACCTGGCACAGCATTATGGTTTGTTGTTGTTACGACCCCTCAATTAAACCCGGCAAAGGTCTTACACCTTACATCCTTGTTCGATATGTTGTGCGTTCACATAACTGTTCACAATATGCTGATTCATAACATAACGAAATTCTTGAGAGATAATGACGACAGCTTAACTCAATGAACAGATGGTGAGGATAATATCTTTAGGCCCCTAAGCGGAAGCACTTGTTACAACGTTTCCACAAATCGCTCACGTACGGAGACATTTAGTACACAAATTAAGCGAATAAACTGGAGCAGCAATTCGTTATTGATTAAGATTGCGTCAGAACCGTAGTGATCTTAATAGTCTTGAGCAAGAGATATAATAGTATTTGTTGTTTTTATTATTTATAAGCGTAAGGAACTATGCTAATACAGCCCAGTTTGACTTATTCTGTTTAGAGCTCTCTTACCACATGTAGATGTGACCGTGGTCACATTGTGAAGGTTCAGTAATATTTTGACTATAACTTAATCGAACAGACCGTAGAAGACGAAGGCATTTGAACGGATAAAATTAATAGAGGCTTACATCACCATGTGTCCCATGCTACATGAATACCTACTCCAAACCATGATACATATATGGTTTTTTATAGGATATGGGTAACAAACTAGCACACAGTTCACCTGATGGTAGGTTGTTGCTGTGGCCCATAAGAATCTACATCTATCGTCGATTGAGAATCAAAATGCAGATCGAGTACTAAGATAGAATGCTTCGTTTCCACTAAAAAGGGTCTCCGGTTCTCTACACTCATCATACGAAAAACAGCAGCTTTAAGCTGCTATTTTACGCTGGTATTCTGCAAGAGCGTGGGTTGTCCTTCCCCGGTTGAGCCGACCCATTTGTGCTACAACTTTAATATAGCTGAAGCACAAATGGAAGCAATATATACTGGAGTAGCAATGCACCCACTGGTTACCTTATTTTGCCGTAAAATTTTCAAAATAATTTCGATCTTTTAAATATAAAACTGAACTACTACTGCAACCCAAGGAAACCAGCAACCAACTTAAAACAAAAAAGGAAGGATACAAATGGCAATGTCTCTATTAAAAGGCAATTTATTTTCCACGCAACAAGAAATAAAAGAAATACATAGTAAAAAGACTTTTATTTTAAGCAGTATGAAAAACGCTACGTGCTTTCTTCTCTTTCTTTTTCTTCTGCATCCTTCTCTTTTGCTTTTCAGTGCTCTTAAGAAGTTTCAAAATTTTGTCGTCTTTATCCTCTAAGCTGTCTTCTAGATCGACGTCAGTGCTGCCCTCTGTGGACGGTTTCATCTTTTTCGCGTTGTCAGAAGCCACGGATTCGTTTGATACATGCTTCTTTCGAGGTTTTTCTCTGTGAAGGAAATGCTACCGATTTCAACATAATATTAATAATGATTTCTTATATTTACGCGAACACTACACATTGAATAAAACTATTTTTTACGGATTTTATCGCGTTTAATTTACTATTTTAAAATTTTATATAATATTAATAATATAGAATTACAACCACTTTTAATTTTTTTTTAAGACTAGAAAAGCAGTTGCTTGAGCATGTGGATGTGTGTTTAGCAGGGATGAAAGATATGAACAAGAATATAGGGCGACGAGTGAACGGTGCTCTTCACCCTATTCTGGGAAGGCAGATTGTGTCGAAAAGGCACGTACGGCAATTCACAATGATGTGTTACTTCCTACCTTCATGTGTGGCAGTGATTGTAGGCTGTGGCAGAAGAAGCAAGAGAGTAGAATAAATGGTGAATAAGCAGATAAGAATTCAGCATTCCGATTCAGTCCTAAAATTCTCTTTAATGACCGCATCGAGGAGTATTTTAGGACTGCATCTGAATGACGGTGAGAAATTGTGTGATAAAAGAAATATGTGGTATCTTCTTCTATAAAAAAAGAAGAAATAATTGTGGAAATATCATTTTAAATATGGGACAGTTATATTGTTAAATTACGCATGATAATACAATCATTCAAACTGAATGGTCTATAACTTTCAAATGAATTTGCCGGTACGATACGCGCGCCACCTAGTGTAAGTTAATTGTACTATACCTATAACCATCGCGCAAGTGCAATCAATAAGTTGACAAAGTTTTACCGTAATCTGATGAACGGATATGGCACCGCATAAAATACGAACAAACAAATATTAATTTTATACATTAGATATTAAATAAAAAAGGTTCTACTTCTGTTTGTAATACATTAAATGTAACTGACATAAAACTTGAAAATCCTTGTAACTTTTAACATACTAATAAGATGCTAACACATGTGTTTTGTCATTTGGTCTAAGTAATTCGACAGATAAATTTCTTAAAATTCTAGGAGGAAAACTAAATCCTTGTACTATCACAAACTCTTGTTTTAATTAAACCCATAAGCTTTCATCTTCCACTGAATACGTCGTTGGCGAATTTTACCAAACCTCCACCCACAAAAAGGAAAAGAAAATAATTTAAAATTAAAATTTTTGTTCAGCAGACTTCAATATAAACTATTAAGAATAACTCAAAAACTATTGGTCTGACCTTGATCAAATTCATATGGGACCACATGTGAAGTGCCAGCTTTCAAATAAAAAAGAATCATTGAAATCGGCTCACCCAGTAAAAAGTTATGAGGTAACACACATAAAAAAAAAACATACAGTCGAATTGAGTACCGTCGCCTTTTTGAGGTCGACAGAAAAGAAAAAAGTGTAACTGTCATATTTAACTTTATATAGTTCTGGAAATCTATTGTCTATCGTTAGGGGGCAATGTGCAGTACCTTGTGTGTTTGTTGTGTGCTTGAGCTCAATAAAAGTAATTCAAAATATTACACGTTTGGTTTGTCTGCGCAACAGCAACAACATCCTATAGCCTACGCTCTCACCCAACATTAGTACTTCCTGTGGAATCTCAATCAGCGACGGCTCCGTGGCGCAATGGTTTAGCAATGAGTTGCAGCGCTAAGGGTTGCGGGTTCGAATCCCGCACGGACCCAGTATTTGTATAACCTACAAATAATTGTTCCAGGTCTGAATGTTTGTCCTTGTGAAACTTATGTATGTAAACTGCACCCACGATACAGGTGAAATTCTGAGTGTGGAGGTAACATTTTTTTAAAAAGAAAGAGAAGGAGACCTATAGATATGGAGGGAGGATATCAACTCTTATGGTCTGTTGTATGCAACAAACGATACCCACTCACCCGACAGTTTCCATGCTGTCGAACAGTTCGTCCAGCTCATCCACTGGCTGACTCTCCGTCTCCTCGAGTTCCTCCTTCACGTCGACTTCCGAAGATTTCAACAGTGGCGTGGAAGTCTCTGTCTGGACGAGAACGCTGGACAGCTTCGAAGTTAAGTATTGCTGGGAAAGAAATATCGTTACAACTTTTTTATAAAGTAATTGTGACGCTTCATTCATTCATTCAGTCAAACATTTTTTTATTAATACTTTGTTGTACACCAAAATACAGAAAATGAGTAAAATACATTTTAAGTATATACAACAGGCTGTCTTATCACTCTGAAAGTGACCTCTTATAGACAACCTTTGCGTAGAGGACTGACACAAGCAATGGTTAAAATAGAGGGATGTGTACAAAAGAAAATTATTTAAATACATATAAATACAAGCTGTAACCACTGTTTTTTACGTGGTAGTGCCATCCATGCTGCAGCTATATTACTGGTATAGTTGTAGCACAAATGGGTCAGCTCGACCGGGGAAGGACCACGCTCTCACAGAATACCAGCGTAAAATAGCAGCTTAATGCTGCTGTTATTCATATGTTGAGCGTGGAGAACCGGAGACGCATTCCATCTTAGTCCTCACGGGTGACGACGTATCTGCATTTTGATTCGTAGTCGAGGATAGATGTAAATGGCTATGGGCCACAGCAACCACTTACCATCAAGTGGACTGTTTGCTCGTTTGTCACCCTTATCCTGTTAAAAAACCTATTTGACACCAAACTCCAGAGGTTGAATTTTTCAAAATCCTTCACGCCTGAGTGCTTTTGTTAAGCAGTGTACTTATGAAGGGTTGTAATAATGATGATGATGATACACAGACGCAGGTGAAGCTTACAAAAGCATGCAAGCTTACAAAAGAAACTAACTTTATACAACAGTTGCTTAGTGTCGAGGCTGTGCACTCGCAGATGGCGGTCCAGGCTGACCGTCACCAGCATTCGGCGTGGATGCAGAGCCAGTGATGTCACAGCTCCCGCACACCCCTTGTACCCCTTGTCCGGTCTACCCTTGCGCAAGTCCACCTGGTGCACTTGCCCGCGACCGAACCCCACCAACACCTGCCTAAAAACATTTATTTCTTAAAAAAAAACATGCGTGAGTGTCGTGGAACACTCGGTTGGAACGAAGTTTCTTTCGTACTATATTATTATTGATACACGATATAATATTATTTATTAACAAATACAAATAAATGAATTACTAGTGTCTATTAAAATGAAGCGTCATTTAAAATAAAATAATATTTCTTTCATGGCTAGATAAGAAAAAGTACTAGGGATATGGATATTATTTCATCTCGCTTCCTTATAGCCGCCAAGGCCGTCTACACTACGTCAGAAGGGGTCGTGACGGAAAAATCTTACACTTTTTGTCGCCTAGCCCCCATTCACCAAATTCGTACCTTCCTATAAGGAACTTCGTTCCAAAAACATTACACCCCACTGGAATTTTCTCCTGTATCGTGGAGGCAGTTTATATACATAAATTTCACAAGGACACATCAGACAGACACACATCCTGACCTGGAATGATTATTTGTAGGCCACACAAATACTTGTTCCATGCGGGATGCGAACTCGCGGGCCTCATTGTCGTAACTCATTACTAAGCCGTAAAAATTACTGTTTCAGTTTCCCCTCGGTCGCCTCTTACGGCACCCACGGAATGATATGGGGTAGTGGATACTCTTACACCGTCGCTACACATCTGTTCTATTGTGTGTACTTTGTACAAGTGCTATTAATGAATAATTTCATTTCTTAGTTCTTAAATCTTTTAATAAACGTTACCCCCACACTAGGATTTTCTCCTGTATCGTGGAAATACAAATTGCACAAGGACAAACATGCATACCCGGAACAATTATTTGTACGCCATACAAATACTTGTTCCGTGCGGGATTCGAACCCGCGGCCCCCAGCGCAACAACTCATTGCTAAGCCACTGCGCCACGGAGCCGTCATTAAACTATCTAAGTAACTAATCTAGGTAGAATCATTACCTTGTTTGTTTATGTTTTCGAAATTAGTTAAATTACAAATTTATAAAACCACCGAAACAAAAAGAGCTGATGATCTTCAAACGGACTGAAAAGATTTTCTTGAAACATAGCTAAGAACACTCTCGATTAAGACACCTTTAAAACGAAAAGAAAACTTCATCAAAATCGATACAACCGTTCAATCGATACAATAAAATCGATACAAGCTTATAACATTTTCGTCGAGGGTTTAAAAAATCTAGAAATTCTTGTTTAGTAGAAATATAATAATCATCATATAATTATCAAAAATCAGATGCATGTTATCCCCTAAGATCTAGATGGAATGCCCAATTATAGTCCATTCGCAATAACATGTTTTCTTCCTCGCACAATTTCCTTGTGGAATCGATTACCACCAGCGATTTTTCCGGACATATATACGACTTACGGACCTTCAAGAAAAAAGCCTACTACTTTTTAAAAGGCCGGCAACGCATCTGCAATTTCCCTGGTGTTGCGGTTATTCATGGGCGGCGGTAGTCAATTACATGCGGCTCAGCATGCTCGTTTGCCTTCTCTCCTATAAAAAAAGTGGGTCATCAGTGCAACTACAGTGTAAAGGTGTATTCGCATTGGAGTAGGAATGAATGTAGAAATGAAAATGTTTGAATTTTTACTCCACTGCAAATACACCTTTACCATGTAGTTGCACTGATGACTCACTATTTTGTTAAACATGATGCATCTAATTTTTGATTATTGTATGATGATTTTTGATTATTATATACCACGAACTTTTCGAGTTAGAGAGATTCCGCCGTATTTCTTTTATTATTAGTAATGGGTGAATAGAGTAAAAGAAAAACGTGACATGTGCATGTAGTTATCAGTTCACTCACCGTTCATCCAAGCCGGGTTCGATGCACGTCGCAGCCATTCCAGGAAAGTTCACGTTGCACACCGGCCTCCGCTGTGCTCTTGTATCATAGAGCCTGCACACACACACATGAATAATCTGCTGTTATAAACACAAGTGGTAAAATTAAAAAAATCTACAACAGACTTCAATATAAATAAAATGAGAACATCATCAATGTACTCATCATCATTATTAAGGATAACTCAAAAACTACTGGCCAGATCTTCATCAAATTTATATGGGACCACATGAGAAGCACCAGCTTTTAAATAAAAAAGGAATCATCAAAATCGGTTCACCTAGAAAGAAGTTATGAGGTAACACCCAAAAAATACACTCGACATGAGAACCTCCTCCTTTATTTGAAGTCGGTTGAAAATATAAGTTCTGCAAAGAATCGCCTGACGTGAGAATTACATTATTTAGATCTATCTATCAAGCGTTTTACACGTGTCAACTCTGTGTTGACTACAGTAATGAGGGCATCCACGGATTTTTCTGCCACCAGGGCGGCGCCACTGAGAATTGAGATGAAATATTTGACAGATTTCATAGCATGTTTCTTTCTGAAATATTAGTTATTTTTAACAGACTTCAAAAAAGAGGCGGTTCTCAATTCGAGTGTTTTCTTTTGTATGCATGTTACGCGATATCTTCGCAGATTGTGAACCAATTTTGATGATACTTTTTTTATTAAATAGCTTATAAATACTTCAATGCTGGTCCCATATAAAATTGGAGAAAAGAATTCACCCCTAATGGTACCAAATAAATATCTTAATTTTTAACAATTTGAAGTCGGTCTTAACTTTTTGTTATGTTATTATTATAAATGTTATAATTATTGTATAAACTAGATTAGAAATGGATAAAGTCAACTACGATTTTTTTATAGGATAAGGGTGACAAACGAGCACACAGTCCACCTGATGGATACGTTGATGCCGTGCCCCATAAACTACATCTACCCTCGGTTAAGAATCAAAATGCACACATGTCACACGTGAGGACTAAGATGGAATGCGTCATTTCCAGTAAAAAGAGTCTCCGGTTCTCTCTCTACACTCACCGTACGAAACATTGCAGCGTTGAGCTGCTATTTTACTCTGTTATTCTGTGAAAGCGTGGTCATTCCCCAGTCGAGCCGACCCATTCGTGCTACAACTATACTATTAATATAGCTGCAGCCTGGCGTATACCACGTAAAAAAGATGCGGAATTCTTCTTAAAAGTAGAAAAATTAAAAAAGTGAAAAATTTGTAAAAAATTAAAGCATGCCGTACTGAGGTATTGCTTTGGGTACATACATAAATTAGACACAGAAAAACTTATAATTATATCGCAACCTTTCATTGATGAAAGAGCCGTGGTGGCTCAGATGGTTAGCGCTCGCTGCAAGCTTCACAGTACGCGAGCAACCCGGGTTCGATCCCCGCCGGCAGCAATGAAATTGTTAAGTGCAATTTTAAATGCTGATTTATCACGTGCTCGGCGGTGAAGGAAAACATCGTGAGGAAAACTGCATGTGTGAGAAATAAGAAAAAAAATATTTCGAAGAAATGTGAAGTTCGCCAACACGCATTTGCGCGGCGGACATTTCCTTACCCTAAAACCCTCTCAGAAATGAGAGGAGGCCTGTGCCCAGCAGTGGGACGTAAATAGGCTGTGAACATTTGCGTAACAAATAAGTTCAAGTTAGTCCCAACTAGAGACATCTGGTGAGCGAAACATTATTGGGTGATTGCTCAAGAAGGGGTCTTCTTGAGCAATCGCAAACTAAGGCCTAATAAAGACCTACTGTTCAAATTTCTTGCAGTCTATCCTATCCTCTCAGTTATAATCGACCTACCTCACATATCCATGTCTGGAGCAAACGGCCAGCAAATGGCCTCCCTCCCCCGGCATGAAGGCTAGGTCTGACACCCAGACCGGCTGCCTCAACTGCAGCCAGTCGTGCGGAAGGTTCTTCGCGATGAACACTGGCTGTGTTTCACCGATCCGCCAGACCTTCAGGTCGTTCTCTTCACCACCTTGTTGTGAAGAAATTTATTTATTCAACTATTCAATTATTAAAGTGGAAACTTCTTTACAATCGTTGTGATTTGAAACTCGATGAAATGAAAAAGCGACACTAACAAGAGACGAACATATACGTCTATAGGATTTGGAATGCGATAGAATGAGATAGAATACAGTATACAGTGTTCCCTATTATATATGAAGACTAGCTGTTCCTCGCGACTTCACCCACGTGGATTACGATTGGATTTTATAGGTTTTTTTTTCGCGCGGAACCCTAATTCCTTTTTTAAAATAAATGTAGCCTAAGTTACTCTTTATAACATTAGCTATCTGCCAGTGAAAATCCTGTAAAAATCGATCCAGCCGTTTCGGAGATTATCCGGAACAAACAGACAGACAGACAAAAATTTTAAAAATTGTGTTTTTGTTATAAGTAGCGTATATACTTTCATATGCATTTAGTAAAAAGCTGATATTTTGACATGAGAAACAGACACTTCAATTTTATTTATTTGTATAGATGTGATCTATGAGCAGTAAGGATTAAGGACGAAATTTCTTAATTAGAAAAATATTTAATTTTAAGATATATTGTAGGGCTTAAAATTAAATATAAGAATATTTAATTTTAAGATATATTGTAGGGCTTAAAATTAAGTATAAGAATATTTAATTTTAAGCCCTACAATAATCCTACTGCTGATGCAGAGTGCATTCGTCTCATTCTCTCGAAGTTTAGTTTTCTGAACGTTTCACTTCTACCGCGTCTCAACTGCACACGTTTTTTTATTTACTATAATTAATTATTTTATAAAAAAAAATTATAAAACCGACCTCAATATAAATTACTAAGAATAACTCAAAAACTATTGGTCAGACCTTGATCAAACTTATATTTAACCACATGTGAAGCACCAGCTTTGAAATAAAAGAATAATCATCGAAATCGGTTCATCCACAAAAAAGATATGAGGTAACACAAAAAAAACGTACGTTTGTACTTATGTACGCACGTAAGAAGTTATATTTCTTTAGCGTAACAAAACAAAAATAACTAAAATAAAACACGTTTTATAGATTCATATATATTTGAATAACTACCTTGAATATAGTTATCGGTTCTTACGAAAACTTGACAGTTGACATACTATTACCAACTGAAGCTGTTGCTTTTAGGTTTCCGTGTGCACGCGTAACAACGCCATGGTGTCGTTTAGGTGTCTCATAATTTTTCTCAAACGCACCAAAAGAAGTATAATTTCAATAAAAAAAAGAACATACAATCGAAAGAAATCGAATTGAGTACCGTCTCCTTTTTGAAGTCGGTAGAAAAGAATACAAACGGACTTAATGCCTTGATAAGGCATTCTCTACCAGTCAACCCATGGAATGGTGAGAATTTAACGTAGGTGTAACAATACAGAATAAAACAGAATAAAAATGATTAACTACGTAATACTTACACTAATTAACCGATTAACTACTAATTACTTACATAAATAAAAATATACACATTTGTATCCATACATAATTAGTATATACAAATAAGTGTGGATATATACGTCTGTTTAGCAATATGACATGGATGTTTCATATAAAGGCGGCTGTTCACGTTGGCCAACATAGTGACAAATGTGTTGGCAAATATATTAGCCAAGAGTTTGTGATGGCGTCCACACGTTGGAAGGTCGTTCAGTTTGCTTCGGTTCAGGTCAATGGGCAGACCAATTTATTAAAATTGATATTGAGGGGCTAACGGCTGCTACGGTTTATTTACACATAGCATATCGCTACTACGTGAATGCAAAAAAAAAATTATTTCTTGTGTTCCACAAATAATTTTCGACTTGATAAAGCTCTATAAAGCGAAAAGTTTCTTCATTGGTCATTGTTACCGCCATTTTGTAGATACTAGTTACGATGTGTGAATATAAAATTTAAATCAGGTGCATGCGATTACTCCAGAAAGATCCCAGGAGCTCGTAGCAAACTAAACGTGCGCCCAACGTGCCAATTGCATGACATATGTTGACATGACATGAACATTTAGCTGACTTGTAGCACCGACGTTCCGGGAAGTCTGCAGTGTGTGAACATGTTCAAGATCGTCCCCGCCATTACATTAGATTTGATAGACCACAAATTCTTGCAAAAGAACACCGATTCCTACCAAGTCGAAACGTCGGGAATTAAAAAGTTAAATTAAACGCGATGAAATTCGTAAAAATTAGTTTCATTTAATGGGATAAATGTAGATTTCTATGGGCCACAGTGCCTACTTACCATCAGGCGGACTGTGTGCTTGTATATCATCCTTATTATATAAAAAAATAAAACTTTTTGTTTAAAGTTAATTTCAATAATGTTTAATTACCAGTAGCAAACAGTGTGGTGTCATCTCCACAGACTCTCATCCTGTCGATCTTCCCAGTCTCAACAGTTGTTTCCTCCTTCTTGCTCCAGATCTTGACCACACCGCTAGCAACGGCCGCAAGAAGTTTCCGCTTGTGGCGACCCAGTCCCACCACATCTCCAGTACCGAAATCCGCCGTGTACGTTTTTGTGAACTCCGCTCTTTGGGTATTGTAGATTTGAATCTGAAAGTTAATCAAATGGAATATTTATATAAAATAAAAATCAATTGCCGCATGTATGAAAGATCATCACTTGAGAACGGCTGGACCGATTTTGATGAAATGTAGACCCGGTAGATGGCGCTGTTGTTGAGATCCAGAAATCACCCGTGCGAAGCCTGAGCGGATCTCTAGTAAATAATAAAGTAAAAAGTTAATTACCAACCTATTTACGGCCAACTGACCGTGTGGTGACTGTAAAAGAATATCCACTATCCCATATACTGTGGGTGACATAACGAGGCGACAGAGGAAAACAAATCATGAGATCGGCAGCAGCGTCTTCCTAATAACGACTAAATATAAAAACTGGTATGGTACTTGCCAAGCGTGGTAACCATGGCAATCTATGGGGGAGGCCTATAACGTAATGTTACAACAGTAACGGTTAGGTCCCACAGCTGTAAATAGACTTTTATTAATTTATGAGAGGGTTATTGATTACTTCAAATATCTAGGCCTGGCTTGCGAGGTGACTGACTTGTGGCGTGGTCTGCCGATGGTAATTATTGCTGTAGTCGTCGCTGCGAACGGGTTAACCCCGGTCGGCCTCTCGGCTCATCTGAGGCAACTGGGATTCTATGACGGGTCAATTATTTGTAGTCCTACAAATACTTGTTCCATGAGGGATTTGAATCCGCGGCGCCCGCGCTGTTTCACATTGCAAAGCCACTGCGCCTTGGATCAGTCTTATATTCTTGGTGTTGACTTATTGATTTACTAATTGTATATTGATTGATTGGTTACATACATAAAAATTTAATACTTTGTTACACAGCATGAAATAAAAGAAACAACAGGTCCCATCCGCAGAGATCGTGATCCTTGGCGATTTTAACGCCCACCATGCCGAATTCGGCTCGGTTCACGTTTAACCGATCATGCGGGGAGATCTGTTTATGACTTTGCCTTGGCATATGGTCTGACACAACTGGTTACTTCGCCTACGCGGATTCCAGATGTGGAGGATCATACACCTTCCCTGTTGAACATTCTGCTGACCTCTCATCCGGACGGATATCAGGTTTCCGTCGATGCCCCTCTCGGCTCTTCGGACCATGGTCTGATCCGGAGTGTGGTGCCACTCACGCTCCCTTCGCGGTTGCGTTCTGCAGGTTGCCGCCGTGTTTGGCATTACAGGTCGGCGGATTGGGATGGAATGCGGTCTTTCTTTGCATGCTACCCATGGGGGCGGGTTTGCTTCTCGCCGGATGATCCCAGCGCTGTTGCTGACTCTGTCACTGATGTGGTGCTTCAGGGATTGGAACTATTTATTCCATCATCTGTGGTACCCATCGGAGGCAGATCTCAGCCTTGGTTTGGTCGCTCCTGTAGGACTGCATTACGCAGTAAGCAGGAGTGTTATCAAGCCTGGACTGCGGCTTCGGCGACTCGGGATGTAAACACCAGCACACTTAAAAAGAAGTATAACTTCGCCTCCAGGTCCTTCAAAAGAGTTATTGCCAAGGCAAAGTCAGAGCACATAGGCAGAATTGGTGAGAAACTAGTTCGCCTTCCTTCGGGAACCCGTGCATTCTGGTCTCTCGCCAAGGCTGTCCAAGGGAATTTCTGTAAGCCATCATTACCATCTCTACACAGGGAGGACGACTCACTGGCCCAAGACGCAAAACACAAAGCTGACCTTTTAGGCTCCCTTTTTGCGTCCAACTCAACTCTTGATGACGGGGGGAAAACACCGCCGACCATCCCGCGGTGTGAGTGCTCCATGCCGGATATGCTGTTCTCACAGCGCTCGGTTCGCAAAGCACTTCTCTCCCTGGACATCCAGAAGTCGAGTGGGCCTGACGGAATCCCCCCAATTGTGCTGAGGACGTGTGCTCCGGAGTTGGCACCGGTTCTAACGCGTCTTTTCCGGTACTCCTACTCCCAAGGCGTAGTCCCGAATTCATGGAAAACAGCTTTTGTCCACCCGATCCCTAAAAAAGGCGACCGCTCAGACCCGTCCAACTATAGGCCTATCGCGATCACCTCCTTGTTCTCCAAAATAATGGAATCCATTATTAACTGCCAGCTCATCCGGTACCTTGAGGATCACCAGCTGATTAGTGACCGCCAATACGGTTTTCGTCGGGGTCGATCAGCTGGTGATCTTCTGGTCTACCTGACCCATTGATGGGCGGAGGCAGTAGAGTCCAAGGGGGAGGCGTTGGCCGTTAGTCTGGACATTGCGAAGGCCTTCGATCGGGTTTGGCACAAAGCGCTTGTTTTGAAGCTCCCTTCCTATGGGCTTCCCGAGAAATTGTGCAATTGGATCACCAGCTTCCTTGCAGATCGGAGCATCAAGGTCGTTGTAGACGGTGCATGTTCTTAGTTCTTACTACAAGCCTATTAACGCTGGTGTTCCACAAGGCTGTGTGCTATCACCAACGCTGTTTCTTCTGCATATCAATGATATGTTGCTAACTGGTAACATTCATTGCTATGCGGATGACAGCACTGGTGATGCTCTATACACCAGCCTTGCCTATATTTCTCGGGAAAACGTCGCCGAGTACCGGAACAAACTTGTGTCTGAAGTCGAGTCTTTACTGAGCAAAGTCTCGGATTGGGGGCGACTAAATCTAGTACAGTTTAATCCTCAGAAGACACAAGTTTACCGCTAAAAAGAACCCCTTTGTCGTATCTCCTCAGTTTCAAGGCACTCCCCTTGTTACCTCAGTCAGTATCGGTATCCTCGGAGTCGACATATCGAGTGACGTGCAGTTTCGTGGTCACTTGGAAGAGAAGGCCAAATTGGCCTCTAAAAAGCTTGGCGTGCTTAGCAGAGCGGGACAGTATTTCATGCCGGCACACCGCCTGCAACTTTACAAGGCGCAGGTTCGGCCTCACATGGAATACTGTTCCCATCTCTGGGCAGGTGCTCCCCAGTGCCAGCTCCTTCCACTTGACCGCATCCAGCGCAGAGCGGCTCGAATCGTCGACGACCGAGCCCTTTTCGATCGGCTCGATTCATTGGCACTGCGAAGAGATGTTGCATCCCTTTGCATTTTCTTTCGCATCTACCATGGGGAGTGCTCTGAGGAATTGTTCGGATTAATCCCAGCCGCCAAATTTCACGAACGCACATCGCGGCAGAACTCCCGATACCATCCACACCATCTGGATGATTGGCGGTCCACCACTGTGCGATTTAGAAGATGTTTTCTTCCTCGCACGACTTCCTTGTGGAATCGATTACCATCAGCGATTTTTCCGGACCGATACGACTTAGGGACCTTCAAGAAAAGAGCGTACTCCTTTTTAAAAGGCCGGCAACGCATCTGCAATTCCCTCCCTGGTGTTGCAATTGTTCATGGGCGGCGATAGTCACTTACCATCAGTTGAACCGCATGCTCGTTTGCCCCCTCTCCTATAAAAAAAATGACTAACATGTAGAATGAATGAGGAAAGTGAGACTGCACTACAGAAGTAAGTGGCAAAGTCGGCAAGGGACACCCTAGACAAAAGTTTATGGATGAAATTGACAATATATTGAAAATAAGCCAAATTGAGAGTACCGTTAAGGGTACATGTATGCATAGGTGCATAAATGGGAAAGGTGTGATAGTTTATGTTATGTTAACGAGGAGGTTCTTTAAACCCTGATATATAGACGTGAACCAAGTTAACCATTTCACTGTCCCGTGAGACATATATGAACATTTCAATTGTTTAACTATTGTCTTTTCGTGGACAGGGAAATTGCTAATGGACCATATAGTATACTAGTAGTAGCTCTAAAAGTTTATGCACCTGGGTTGTTTCCTGTGCTTAAACTCTTGCTCCACCTCTATTACACCCATATTAATGATACTACACTATAGTGGTACTATACTAAAATATTCATCAAATAGAATCAAACCTGTTGATTTTTCTTTCCAATTAGTATTTCAGTCTGCTCAGTGTTACCCCACACCATAGATGTGATTGTGTCATCTTTTTGTAGGCTTTTTATGTCAACAAGGTTCTCTACACGTTTCTTACTGTTTTTTGTTGGGTCTGTGTGGTACTTTATGTCTGAAATATTAGGAAAACAGTTATTATTGGAAACATAAAGGAATAATTTACTATACACTAAAAAACTTTGTGAATAAGGTGGGATTGCTTGCTACAATTATGATTTTATAAAATTAATTTTATGAATTTTAATATCATAGTTGGCACAGCTACCTTTGGCTTGTGAATTATGAAAATTAATTTAAAATGTACTTCAGAGTTAATTTCATCATCGTCATCATAATCATATTTTTTACTTATACAGGATATAATTAAAATCATTAGCATCTTTTTAAACTCAGAAGGTACACATGATGCAAACTATGATGGGTTCTTAAACTTTTTAAATCCAGCCATCCAACAATTTTGTAGCCGGGCCAACTATGACATTGGGACGTCAAACACATCAGTCATGGCTATGTGTTTCAAAAATAAGCTATATTACTTAAAAATGCATTTAGTGTTAAAATCCGAAAAATTTGTTTTATTCAATATCAAGTATTTGTGTAAATATACAAAATCACTACAGTGATATCATATAAAAGGCATTTATTTAAACATATAGGGATATTTGCCAAAGGCTATGGCCATACCTGCCAAGTGCTATGCTAAGCTGTGGCCCAAAGCTGCTACACTAATGTAGTAAGTGTGTACATTGACCCTCAAATAATGGTGATGGTAAAATGAGGAATGATTTTTCACACATATCGTAACTAATTAATTTTAAGATCTTTAATATAATGGATTTCTGCAAGGTTGCTCCTGATTCTATTAATAGGTGATTTCTAAATCTCGATATCACCACATGACGAGTCCATTGTGAATCTAAACCATCCAGGGACCCACTCAAACACACAAAAATTTTAATCAAAATCAGTCAAGCTGTTTTCTAATTTTAGCGAGACTAATCAATAGCAATTATACGATAAATACGAACCACCACATGGTACGCTGCCGTTTAAAAAAGCATTCAACAAAAAGAGGTAGAAATAACATTGAAAATAAATTGACATTAGAACAACACAGAGAAAAAATAGATCCTTTGTTCATCAACACACTGAAAGAAATAGTAAACTCGGACAGAAGTGTCACAGAAAAATATGGTTACCTGGATAAAGAACTATCAAAATTGAGGAAAGTAAAGGTAGCTAAAGATATGAAGTTTGGTGAGAAGACAATAGAGCTCCTAGAAGAAAGAAAAGCACTAATGACAGACAAATCAAAAACTGAAGAAAATATTATAAAGGGTAGGAAATTAAGAAGAACGAAAAAACTAGAAGATGAAATCCAAAGAACAAGGGAAACAAAAAAAGCTTTCAAAGAATTAAGGGAATATGGAATGGAATGGATACCAAAACTAAAAAGAAACATCGTAGAAGAATCCAAAGTCTTGCCACAGACTACTATCGAACTTTTTACTCAAACAATGACACCGATCGAGAAAATAATGCCAATAACGATCCTAATACAAGTTATAAAAAAGTCCCATCAATACTCTTGCAGGAAGTACAGAAAGCAATCATGTCACAAAGCTAGAAAAAGCTCCAGGGCCTGACAACATAACAAATAAGCTAATCAGAGGCACCAAAGAAGAAATAAGCCCAATCCTAACCAAGCTATTCAATGATATTATAACAACAAGCACCATCACAAAACAATGGAATGAATCACATATCATTCTCCTACATAAGAAAGGGAATAAAGATGACATTTGCAACTACAGACCAATTAGCCTAATATCAAATGTGTACAAAGTATTAACAAAAGTAATTCTAGAAAGAATAACAAGGGTCTTAGATGAAAACCAACCAATGGAACAGGCAGGATTTAGAAAGAACTAAAGTACTATAGACCAAGTCAAATCAAACAAGTCTTGGAAAAATACAATGAATACCAGAAGACATTGTATATCTGCTTTATAGACTACTCCAAAGCATTTGACATCCTAAAACACAAATTTATCTGGTTGAGTCTAAAAGAACAAGGAGTGGACGATGTCTATAAAGAGCTAATCAAGTCCATCTACTAAAAAAACAAAAGCAGTATTAAATTAGAGTTAAAAGGAGACCCCTTTTCAATAAACAGAGGCGTGAGACAAGGAGACCCATTATCACCAAAGCTTTTTAATGCTGTGCTGGAACACACATTTAAAAAATTAGACTGGGATAATTATGGTATTATAATCAATGGAAGCCGCATCAATCATTTGAGATTTGCAGATGATATTGTCCAGTTAGAAGAAAATCCTAAGAAACTAGAACATATGGTAAAAGACATAGCAGAAAAAAGCAGAGAAGTAGGTTTAGAAATTAATGCAGATAAAACAAAACTTATGACTAACTCAACAGAAAGCAACATCTTTCTGTTGTGGTCTACGGAACCAAGTTCGAATATGTGAAAGAATATGTTTACCTAGGACAAATTATATCTGCTAAAGAGTCCATGTCCAAGGAAATAAACAAAAGAATAGCCTGCGGTTGAAGGAAATACTGGTCCTTGAAATAAATAGTGAAAAACAAAGATCTAGGATACATATCAAGAGAAAGACTTTCAACAATTATATTCTCCCCTGCATGACATACGGCTGTAAGACATGGACATTAACGGACAAACATAGAGAAAAACTTGCTAAAACAGAAAGAGCAATGGAAAGAAGCATGTTGGGAATCAGGCTTAGTGACAGAATCCCAAATGTGGAAATAAGAAGGAAAACAAAAGTAACAGATATAATAACTTATATAGACCATCTAAAATGGACCTGGACAGGACATATCACATGCTATGTTGCAAAATAAATAAATGGAGCAAACAAGTAATCTTATGGTATCCAAGAGGAGACATCAGAAGACAGGAGTCTGAAAACAAGATAGAGTGACTGCCTAACTCTAGGACCATACTAGACCAGAGTTGCAGAATATCGGGCTCAATGGAGAGAGCTGGAGGAGGCCTATGCCAAGAGGCACGCTGAACTATAAGATATAATATAATAAATAAAATTCATAAAATCAAAAATCTTAAACTGCATGAAGTTTGGAATAAAAGGGCTTTATTATTATTATTAATAATGAGATAAATGTGAAGAGAAAGCTTTGTACCCCTTCTTAAATATATTGCACGCACAACCGCACCATGTAGTGGTGGTGTAAGAATAGCCCCTGCCCCGTGTCGTAAGACGAAGACAAAAGGAAACTGAAACAGGAGATGGGTATCAGTATCTTCATGATAACTTCAAATATTAAAAATCTGCAGTTACCAGTTATGTGTGGCAACTATGGCAAATATCCTATGAAGCAAAATCTATGGGGGAGGTGTGTGTTCAGCAGTGGACTTAGCCATAGCGTGTAATGGATGAATAATGAATATTGATGGACCAAAATGATTTATTTGACTCAAAGTTTTTCCGAGACTAACGCCCGAAAATTAATTTTTATATATAAAGATAGATGTCCGGTAGTGGCAATTGTTATTACAGAACTATTCTATAAAATCCAGGACGATTATTTATTATGTAAAATTCTTCCTTCACTGCAAATGAGACGTGCAACCGACGTTCATATTTTTTATTTTTTAAGAACACCAACTTACGCTTGAATGAGCCGATTCTACTACCGACGAAAATATCGAATTCCCATTCGTTTGACAATATCATTTTGCTGTTATACACATATCTTTCACAAAAATTGTTATAATAAATCAATTATTTTGAACCACAACACGTGAATATTTACGTCAAGAATAGATTTTTTTTAATAACTTGTTTTACGGCTCTGGGTTCTAGCTCTTCTGAGCCTGAATTTACAATGTATAATTATTATCCTTCATAGTATAGTGCTTCACAATATGTTGATGCGTCACATTGTGCAGCCCTTGCGAGATTTTGACGGCAACTTGCGCCAGCAGAAAGCTGAAAGTTGACGATGGTATCTCAAGGCGGCTAAGCAGACAGACACCATATCTTGAGAATCACATCACCATCAGAGCACTTGTTTCACCGTTTTCATTAATAGTACACATGCGTAGACATTTAATACACAAAATCGCACCACTTTTACATATTAAAATCCACTTCAAACCATTATTTAAACAATAAGACACACTACTAAACTAAACAGGAGCAGCAATCCGTCGCCGGTCAAGTTCCCGCCAAAAGATTCTTGTGGTGCCGTTCACACGTTGGCGTGTTTCATTCTGCGTTGGTAGCTAGATATAGATATGATAGAGATAGAGATGATGATGGACGTTAATGATCGCGGCCTTATTTTTATCTTGCTCATGTTTGGGGTTCTATATAACTGATTCATTGTGATAAGAATCAATGAACCTAAATATTTCCTCATTAGGCGATATCGCCATGTTCGTGAAATAATTTTTGTAAGCCGTAAAGCGTAACTATGAAATGAACACTCGGCCAACGTGTGATCGCTATTTGCGGCTTGCGCCAAATTTCTTTGATGTGTGCACGGAAAACCGACACTACTTGTCAGCAAGTGTTGGCCGCAAACGCCAAGTACACACAAAACCGGCCAGTACACGTTGGCCGAATGCACTCGGCGAGCGCGTTCGACCAACGTGTACTGCTACCTTTACAGACACATGTGACAACTTGACATGACAACAATGACCAGTGTTACCAACTCCAAAAAATATTTACCCCTAAAGGTTAAGTAAAAAAAAAAACCTAAAATCACCTTATTTACTTGGAATTCTCCTAAAATTAAGAATATTGCTTTGTAATGTTCTTTACATATAAATTATTTCCTATTTAAAATGTTATTTCGTTTTCTTCTGACGATTCCGACATATTAAAATCATACATTTGGATATTAAATACCCACACATTTTAGTTAATGGATTAAACGTTACAAATGCTCTATTTCATGGCTGTGTGAATCAGATCATTATCACTAAATAGCATTTCATTAGATAACAATAAATAGCAACCGATAATTAAATCAAAAAAACTATTGTTAAATCCAATTGTGCATGCCTTAAGCGCATTAAAAAATTACGTATAACATAACATGATCATACCTAAAATTTTAAAGTAGTTTAAATACACACGAGTTTTTCACTAATAAAATTATTACTATACTTCCAATTTTCCGATAATAATATGTCAAACTTCAATTAAAATATAGTTTGGAAAATCCATCAGTGCACGACTCATAATGCTCATATGATAGTGAAAATTTAAAACAAATATTAATTGTAGTTCTATTCGTCAAAGAGTTCCAGTCATCACCGATGCCAGCAGTCACCGAAGTAGACTTTCAAGTCACTCCGACAAGTCCGGAGGTAAGGTCTATTCATAACTAACAAAACGAGCCCAAGCTTGGCACATCTTCTTCTGCTCGTCAAGGAATTCCAGTAGCAGTCATCAAAGTCTACCTTCAATCCACTCTATCAAGTCCGGAGGTAAGGCCTCATCATAACTAACAAAACGAGCCCGAAATCGGCACACCTATTACTACTCGTCTAGGAGATCCAGTAGCAGTCATCGAAGTACACATTCAGATCATTCTTTCAAGTCCGGAGGTAAGGTCTCATAACTAACAAAACTAGGCCAAGCTCGGCACACCTACTTCTACTCTTCGAGGAGTTCCAATAGCATTCATCAAAGTACACTTTCAGGTCACTCTATCAAGTACGGAGGCAGAAGTGGATTAAACGTCGACTGCGCCCTAGGCTAGCCTAGCACCTCATCGGGGTACTTTCTAGGGGCTATATTATATCTCTTAGAAACTAAATATACTAATTTTGCATATAAACTATATAATAATTTTTGATATAATTTAATAATTACAAAACAAAAAAAAGTGATGAGATAGTAAGAGCGATTTAGGAGTTATCAAATACGACGATTTTTTTTGAAGTTTTCAACACGTGCCTTTTTAAGCTTGCGCCCCTAGACATGTGCCTAGTTTGCCTTAAGGATAACCCACCACTGTCCGGAGGTAAGGTCTCATCATAACTAACAAAACGAGGCCAAACTCAACACACCTATTACTACTTTTCGAGGAGTTCTAGTAGCATTCACCGAAGTACAACTTCAAGTCGGGGTAAGGTCTTATCATAACTGACATAACGAACACAATCTCGGCACACCTAGTCTAGTCGTCGAGGAGTTCCAGTAGCAGATAGTGAAGTACACCTTCAGGTCTTCATAAAGTCCAAGACGTATAAGTATATTTATACAGGGTCATTTTTAATTTACTAAAGACCTTTTGGGAATATATTGGTTACATAATTACAAACAATTTTAGCGAGATCACTCTACTCTCTCTCTACTCACAGAATATAATACATTTACGAAAAAAACTATTTTTAAGTTTTTGTTGTTATGTCTGACTCCTTTTAAGTCTGTATTTTGTAGTACCTAAACAATGTCAGAATAAATCGTCAAGGAAAATGCCTTATTTATTTTACACTTGATTTCAGTATCACGTATTGTGTTGAGATCATCAAACATAATTAAATAAGCAAATGAATTTTTAAATAAAACTAATTTTACGGATTTTATCGCGTATATTAACTTATTTTTATATTCTCGTGACCACGGGTGCTGGAAAGCACCCGAAACGTCGGGAATATAAAAATAAGTTACAGTATACACTAATGTCTTTACATGCCCCCGCAAATAAAAATCCATTGGTGTGATATCTGGCGATCTGGGAGGCCATGCACAAGGCCCGTCACGACCGATCCAGCGACCAGGGTATTCTGTTTAAATAATTTTTAACTTGGCGAGCATAGTGCGCTGGCGCCCCGTCATGTTGGTAATACATATTGTGTAGAGGTGCAAGTGGTATGTCCTCTAACAACTCTGGCAGCGTGTCGGTGAGAAAACTATGATAGCTTTCACCGTTTAATCTTTCTATGAAGAGCGGGCCCAGTTACGTTGTATTAATAACGCCTGCCCACACATTGACGCTAAACCGGTGATGAAAGCTATGCAGTCTTGGTTCATGTGGATTTTCATAGCACCACAAGTGTCCATTGTGCGAATTAAAAAGTCCTATTCTGCCAAATGTTGCTTCATCAGTCCATAAAATGTTAGTTCGTTCAGCAGCCAGTTACAAAATGTAACTCGCGCTGGTTTGTCAGTTTCGCTGAGTGCATGAACACGATGCAGGTGGAAAGTATTCGTACTTCCCTTCATTCTGTATGACACTCCATGCGTAGTACTGTGACACATTGAACTGTATGTGAAGTGCTCGCTGGTGGATTTTGTTCAAAAAACTGTAGTATGTCTTCCTGCTCACGTACTGTGCGCCGCGGTGGACGACCACGATCAATTGATACAGGCTGGAATTGCCCGTAATCTCGCAATCGCTGTGTAGTACCTAGTATCATCGTAGCGTAGCTCGGTGCACGTGAGTTGGGAAATCACCTTAAATATTCACGGCAGGCTTCACTAACGTTATCATTGCAAATTGCTAAAATTCGCACCATTTCGGTATACTCAACATTTGAGTATCGGTCGGTTTGAGCATCGTAACAACGTAACGTTCGCGATATTAATCTCACAACGGAAGGAGAAACGTCACGGGCGCACCAAAGGCAACTGACGACACAGGTAATTAGGTCAAGTTGAAATGAGCAAGCGCCGCCTCCTACACCCCTCCACCCCTACCACGACACGCACTTTCTTTTGCTAACTAGGACTATTACCGTTTAGAAGGTCCAATTAAAATATTTTTATTTTTGTATGAAAATAGAAATTGAAGAAATATAATTTTTTTTCTTACAGATGTTGTTGTTATGATGTAAATAATATATTCCCAAAAGATCTTCAGTAAATTAAAAATTACCCTGTATATATAAATCCTGCGTACTTTTAGCGAAACAAAATATTCTAATAAAAATCTATGATTATAAAAATAATAATATCTTACCTTGGTCAAGTATGTATCAAATTTGGTTTTTGGAATATTTTGTATTTCTAAAGCGATCGATGTTTTTTTGCAGGAAACGCTGTAAACAAATGACCATTCACGACGGCGACTGAGCCCGGAGTAAAAACTACTCTGTGGCCGGGAGTGGTGCAGAGTGTGTTTAGTAAAATAAATTAATATAAGGCTGCTCAAAATACCGAAACTTTCGCTATTTCTCAGCCGAAAAAAAACAAAAGAAAGCAAAATTAAACTGCCATTTATATTCCATAGCTTCCCACATGATAGATGAAGTGTTTAAAATAGATTGAGATGAAGAATTGATATTTTCAAAGATTATCGTGTTTACGCCTCCATGCGGACTTGATAAATCTACACCTTATGCCACTAAAACTGCTTTTTAATGTAAAAATTGCAATTGATCGATTTAAAAAATAAATAATAAGTTTAACATCCATTTATCTTTCTGACAATGCCCTTTTTTATATGTTCAATGTCATTGTTAGATACGATTTCATGCGTCAAAACGTTAGAATCTTGATTTTTAGGCGCTAGTAGAACATATCTATGTGCTTTGCGCTTAAGACATGCAACATACAACCCGAATTTTGAGAAGTTTTCAAAAGGTTTACAGCTAGCTGCGCCGCAATTATCGTAAAATTCTAAACAATATCAGCTAAAGTGGAAAAGAAATATATAGCCCTAAACATAAAAAGCTTCTAAAAATACCATCTCACTTATTTACCCCAATTTAGGG